CCTAGACGATGATGACACGATGCCAGTGAGACGATGAGTAGGCCCATTTTGCGCGGGAAAAAGCCCAATAACTCGCTTCAAACTGGTGCGCGTCAGCGAGGACTAGCATTTTTGAACTAGCAGACTAACAATAAGCGTTCGAAGCTGATTCAGGTATATACATCTCTTACCAAACGGCCGCTAGGTTTTAGGTAGCTTTTCTTGTAAGAGTTTATTAGCGAGTGAAAGAAATTATCAGGCAAGGGCAAGCACGAAGGGTGCAAACATTAGTACGGCATCTAAACAAGGCCACGGGTATCAAATAGGAATTTAGACATTTAATGAGGGGTGCAGCAGATGAAATGATAGTCAAGCAGGAGGCAGAACTCTTGCAACCTTATATCAATGCAAACTTGAGAATACAAATAACACATGTAGAAGGAAAGATGATTACAGAACAAGCGAGTTACATATAAAATAAGGTGTCTGAATAAGCGGACGATTATCTGCCGCTGTTGGCGAGTTGAGCAGGCCGAAGCCGGCTACCTTGTCGCCCCTAGCTCCCTAAGCGCGAGCTTAGTTGCACAAGAATGTGCGAGATATCTGCATTGTAAATGCAGAGGGAAGCGCGAATAATTGCCGAACAAAACCGGTGAGCCTTTACAAATCTTGCAACGCCGCCCTTGGTGACTATTCTTTTCCAACGTCTTGATTTCCGAGTAAATTTGTTACTCAACTGTTGCAAGGTTTTGTAGCCTTGAAAACGCTGGCAAGAATGACTGATCGTATGTTTTGTTCTTTATTCCCGAAAGCTCGGTCGCGTTGGTGTTGTACAGTCGACTTCAAATTGTAGTCTTCATTTGCCATTCAGCTTCATTAACAAAGCACAGTTTTTTTATTTATTAGATTCAAATAGAAATAACTTACAGGGAAGATGCTTGGTCGAAGTGGCGATTCCACAGGTAATGTATATGTATACTGTCTTTTAGAGCATGGAATGGAATGCTGATTCCGAATCTGCTTTCGGTATTATCTGCAAAGCTCTTCTGGGAGGGGATTTATAGCAATTTTTTGACGCAAAAATTTCGAGAGCAGATACAATAAAATCTTTCAAGACTGTAGTCTGTGAACTTGGAGGGGATTATACACTGCCAGGGCGCTACGTGCAGTTAATACCTCCATTCTGATATACCTCAACATTCGTTTTTGCCTTAACCAAAATCTTGATACTCTGCCTCAAAAAACTATTCATAACTCCCATCCCGAAAGCGCTCTGCAGATAATGAAAGCAAATTCGGAGTCAGCGTTTTATGCTCTAAAAACGGTGTACAGTTCCTTTGGAAACGCCACTTAGACAAAGTATTCTTCCCTTGTTGGTTCAGATTTTTTTGAGAAGCATCTGGCTTACTTTTGTTTGGCTTCTTTGCTCCTATTTTTCTTCTCTTGTTCCCTTTTCCTTTGCTCTCCTTTCGACTTCCTCTTACCTCTGCCTCCCTCTGCCGATAATCTCTTCACTTTACCCTTTCCCTCCTTGCTACCTTCTTTGCTGGGTTTTTTCGGTGTCACTGCTTGCTTTGGAACCTCTTTATCTTTGATTTTTGGCAGTTCAGCAACCTTGGCTGCATTCTGTTGTGCAAGTTCTGCTCCTCCATTTTGTACGTTCTGAAATGCTTCAGTGATGTTGTAAAGGGCGTTGAAAAGATGTTTCGCACCATTATGTATGCGCTAGTATTGGAGCTAGTACCGCTAAGCTAGTAGCTAGATCTTCGTAGATGCAACAAGTAAGACGCGGCCGTAACGGCCACAGCCGTTTGATAAAATGAAAGTCACCAATGTTGTTAAATGCCTTATAAAGGAGATTTCTATGTAATGTTTTCGCCATTCGGCGCAAGCGTTTGTGGCTGTAGATAGTTTGTCCAAATAAGTATTTTTTCGCAAGATACCCAATTACTTACCGTAAGATTTTGATGTGTAAAGCTACGCTTGCAAGCAAAACATACATTTCTCAAATTTCGCTTTTTCGTGCTCAAGTTCTCATCTCTTCTCATTGTGACTATCACCATACAAAGGGAATATTGCGAGCTACCTCTACAAAAAAACTTGTTGTTGTCAAAAATTCTTTGCTGTGACTCTTGAAAGACTATGATCCTTAATTCTCAAAGGTAACGTCGAGGCACTGCTTACTATTATGTTGTAAAGAAAGTTGTGCTAATTCTTCTCATAAGCACAATGAACGAATGTGAATGCAAGCGGCTGCTCTGGGATGTATTCTTAGTATGCGATGGCCTCAGATACCAAGAAAGCTATTCAGCTTAAGAAATAACGACAAACCCGAAAAAAATGCTCTAAAAAGGAGGAGAGTTCGTGGCACTTGGGTCTGCAAAATCGCACATTCTTCACGTCATAGACGCGCAGGATGCAGAAGCTCGATTTAAAATCCGTTTTTTACCGTTTGTATTGGTTAGGTGAAGCGATACCAGACTATAAGTTCCTCCGATATCTGTGCCTCTCAAGAAATAACATACTGATCACAGGTTCCAAAAAATCGGGCTGTACATCTATTTTGAAACGCAGCCAGCTTGCTTCTTAGAAAAGAGTATTCATAATACATTACATAGGTCGTTGCAAAAGTTCTGCCGTTTCATTTTCAAAAATTTGTAACTCCGCGAAATTTCAACGGATTTGCTTGCTTGTAATTTTATTAGAAAGAATAAGTCTTTCGCTTTCAAAGCTGTTTTGAGAAGCTTCTGTTTCACATTGGGTGCGGAGATAAAAATGGAAAACTAAGACAACATAAGATTTGACCATTTAAAGTTAGGTCACCAAAAATCTGGAATGCTGCAGAAAAATCTGAAATCCTCAGTACATATGTTTTTTGGCCTACCCTTTGCATCTGTGAAAATGCGCTGTTTGGACGTCTCTGTGAGAAGTTATGATTTTCGCGAAAATTGACAAATTAATCAATTTTGGCGTTTTCCATAGTAAACTCGATATTCATAACTTTTCACAGAGACGTCCAAACAGCGCAAACTTTTCACAGATGCAAAGGGTAGGCCAAAAAACATATGTACTGAGGATTTCAGATTTTTCTGCAGCATTCCAGATTTTTGGTGACCTAACTTAAAATGATCAAAGCTTATATGGTCTTAGTTTTCCATTTTTATCTCCGCACCCAGTACGAAACAGAAGCTCCACAGAAAAGCATTTGAAAGCGAAAGACTTATTCTTTCTAATTAAATTACAAGCAAGCAAATCCGTTGAAATTTCGCGGAGTTACAAATTTTTGAAAATGAAAAGACAGAACTTTTGCAACAACCTAATACATAAGCGTCTAAGGTTTATCAGTACACATGGCAAAAATATCTTCAATTGACAGCCACTCATGATGAAGATAAGCATACATAGACATTCGATTTCTCGATTACTATTCGAAACTCGAATGATGTTTGAAAGGCGAATGATACTTGATGTTCAAATAGTATTCGGTAGTGGGATATTCAAAATTTTCGATTTTCGAGTATTATTCGATAATCGAATAGTCGAAAAAAATTTCGAATTCTCTTAAGTATACTATGCAGCCTCTTATCTCTTGCTTGTGCTAATATCTTTCTGTTTCTCTACTTGTAACCATGTGCTTCGTATATAATCATGCTTATCCCTTCTATACTTCTATATCTTGTATTGACATCTGATTACTTAAGATAAACTTTAATTACAACCGTGTTTTGTAGAAGGAAGGTACATTGCTAGGGGATCCGAATACTATAGCGTTACTGGACAAGACGTCCAAATACATCAAAGTGATTATTTTGTTACAAAAGGAGGTGACGAAGAAATTCTCTATTGAAAGTGACCGTCGACTGTCCCTCACAACAACCGATCGCTCATCTGTTTCCAGCATGGCGCAGGCATTAAGTTTTACACAGCCTATAGCTTACGTCATAATCACATGCAAAAAGGTACAAGCCGAAGAAGCTGCGGAATTTATTAGAAATGTCTTTTTAGTTGAAGTGGCCTTTTCATATACTCTATGTTTTTTGTAGGTTGCGTTGTCAAAATCCTAATGGGGATAGCGACGAGGGACTCAGATGGTATGAGACTATCAAAACATGTAAACAATCCACGAGCTGACGCCAAAGTTGGCAACTTTCCGCAATGTCTGCCGACTTATGCCAGCATCAGTGATGCCATGAGGTAGGGTAGATTACTATCGGTTTTGTTGTGCGCCGCTGAACATTTAGTGGTGAATGTTTTCAGGGCGAATAATGAACGCTGTCTATACAAAATAGGCAAATCCGGTTGTTACGATCCCTTTAATGCTCGAACATGAGCACTGGTGAGTGTTGGCATTCTAAAGAGAAAGTATTCATTGGAGAACTTGCCGTGGTACCCAACATCGGCCTATCTAAGCCGTTTTCAATGAATTTGGTGTAGTTTTTAACCGACATAAAAAAGACTCATAACTTGGCGGCAAGAGGGGCACAGCAGATACCCAGACTTGTATGCAGCATTCAATGCTTTTCAAGATGTATCGCCGAGTCGTTGTAACTTAATATGCGTATGCACACTATACACGCTAACTGACGAACTGCGAAAATAGGACCTGCTCATTCCCAGTGACTTCTCCTTATTTTCTTGTTCCTTTTGTTTTAGTTGTTATATGTTAGTCAGTAGAACACATTTCTACATTTTGTCAAGCTAGAAAATGTTTCACTGGGAAGTCACTAGTATGGGTGCCGTCGCTAATGGGGCTTAGTGTGCAACCTCACTAAGTTAATGGCTGGATTGGTTAGATTTGATCTGGAGAGGTAGCTTCGACTATAACCACGTGTCTTTAAGTTCTCATTCTGATCAATAAGCAGATTTTTTGCAGTCGTGGGTGGATATTTTTATTTGGAGCAAAAGAACAGAGATACCAGATTTCAAAGTAAACACCTCTCTGATACAGAGTAACCAACATACAACAATTAGAATAACACTATGAACAATAGAACTGTAGCAAACAATGAAGTGTCAGTGTTTCAGCACAGTTTGCAAGTCTGTCCACACAAATGCTGTCTTTCATCATTACTGTACAATTCATCGCCGCAGAAACCATCTTCAGCGAATTTCGCGCAGCTGCAAAGAGCTATTTCTTCAAGCTGAGGAAGACCTAAGATTGAGACGACTTACTTTCTGTGTCTATCCTTGCATACTGGTGTACACAACTTGCATGTCTTTGCGCACGAATCCATCATCACTTGCCTATACTTTGCATGTGTGCAAAGCTCCATATGAGAGCGGCAATCAGGTGTGATATCGTAACAATCCTCTGATGTGTTCAATTTTTTCAAAACTTCCAAAAATTCAACTGTTGGCCATTACCTCCATACTCTTCACTATATTCAACCTCGTTACATCTGTTACAAGTGAGGGTACAATGTCGTGCCATCACATCACTGTAGTTCGGATCAGCGCAAAGCGAGGAAAACTCACGGCAATAGGTATACTCGTCGTAGCATTTGCCTCAAATTGGAAAAAATTTTTTAAATCTATACACGCCCTACCGCACCTTTGATCAGCGTTTTTGAAAGCGATACAGTAAACGATTCGATGTCGGCGGTAGTGATATTGGGCAGGTTACTCTGTAAAGCAAATTATTTAATTTAAAGTTTCGTCTTTGAAAGCGATATATGGGTTAATTAGGGATCGAAATGAAGGAGAGAATAGGTAGGGTTTTGCAAGCGTTTGCGGCAATGAATCGTATAACTCAAATTCCAAATACTCAAATTTAGACAAAAAGCCGCGTTCCAAGACCGCTGGGCAAATCTGGGTAAGGTGTCTTAGTTGGGAACTAAATACGTGACTTTAGCTAAGCCATCGCCTAAGCGGCAGCTTATGCTTTATTCCCATTTGGGTAACTTGCTCCTAAATTCCTAAATTACTCCTAAATTCGGCAGCTCGTGTGAATTCGCATTTGAGTTATCTACACCTAACTTCTCCCTTAGCGGACCAATCAGCGTGCTCATGTACGCTCTACACTACTCGAGGACGTTGATTGGTTCGCCCGAGAAGAGTGCTGTGTGGACTAGAGTTTAGGAATGAATTCAGATTTTCAGATTGCGATTCAACCCTATGTGGTGCCATTTGGGTATCGATCTGGTTAAGGCCTCCCAAACTTTATACACATAAAAAGCCCTGGTATACAAAAGCCCTAGACAGTGCCCACACGTCTCGCTACCGTACTTTTAGGTTGGGTATCCCTTCCCCCCCCCCCGCTCCGCCACGCTCATCCCCGTTCCTATTTTTTTATTCATCCTCCTGCCTTCTGCCATGGGCGAAATGCGCTCAATGTACACGTTACCTTAGAATTCAATAGCTCTTCTAACTTGATCCTCCTAGCTTCATAAGACTCTGTAGCTGGAACCACTGACACATTGTAGATTACGGTAGTAGACTGAAGTATAAACGTCAGAGGTAATAGAACCAAATAGCGCATTGTAGCCTACCGTATCTGCGGTGGTTCTTGTCTTATTTTTCATGTATTCAATCATTCTTTTGTTGCTGGGTGATGGAGTGTTTGGCTTCGTTGCAAAGGGGCTAAAAAGGCTTTTTATTCCTTAAGTTACTGCAGTACTTATGATTCACACTTCAAAAAATAGATGTAGAGTAAAATCACAAAAACCTTGAACTACGTTTTTCACGGATGACGCGCAGGAGGAACCAAAGGCCTAGCCGGCAGCGTCCGCAGGAGATAATTAGAGGCGCGAACACTGCGCCGGAGATTTGGCCAGGATCCAAGAAAACTTGGCAGGAATCCATAAATGTTCGTAAGAAAACTTACCTCGTAACTTCGCTGGGGAAAACGCTAGAGAAATAAGTGGGCAGTTTTGTAATCTGCGTTTTAAGCCGCATTCATAGGAGAAATGAAAGCGGAATTCACTTTTCATTTACATTCAATCTTTGGATATGAATATCTCCAGAAAAACATTAGCTACGTCGAAGTACTTACACTCAAGTTTCAAGATTTTTAAGAATTATTGAATATCAAGAAACCGAAGTCGTCAAATCGTGACGCTGAAAATCGGTATTAGAAAATTGAAGATTAAGAAATTGTTCACGAAATCTTGCTCGAATTCAAAAAATGAACCATCTGAAAACCATAATGGTAAATCTACAAAATCTAACTTACAGAAAATTTTACGTCAATGTGATGCAAATTCTCAATTTCTGAAAAATTTCCAATTGGTTCAAACACAATTTTGCAATCATTTGTTTTTATCAATTCAAGGTTTCATCTTGGAGTGCTGACTTTAAGTTTACCTTCCCCTCCATTTTCTGACTTGAATCGTGAAATTTTTATGGCGAGTTTCTCGAATGACAGTTATTTCATTAAGAGAAGCCATGAAAAGTGGATTTTAAAACTTTTACTCGTAGTTCTCTGCTTACTCCCAAGTAAGTTATGAAATACGTTTTCATATGGTCTCCTTCAAGTTTCTTTGCTAAGTTGTTTTGGATCCTTGCTAACTTCCCCACAGTGCTTGCGCTCTTAATTGCCTCCTGCGGATATGGCGGCAGGGCCTTTGGTTCCTCCTGCTACGCCGCCGTTTTTCACATACCTCTTGCGAGTTTTTTCTTTTGGAAGAGTGATTGTTCTACTAGAAGCTGTGCTGTTAGCAGTCCTGTTCTTGTCATTCAAAGGAATCTGCTTGACTAAAAATAACAATCATAAAAATATAAATTTTTTCTTCGATTATTCGTACCTTTTCCTAATTTCAGTGATGACGTTGTGGTAAGCTTTTTTTCATTAGGCAGTATGCATTTTCGAGCTGAAAATAAAATTTGCAAAATTTGGAATGTACGATGGCTTCGTCATAAGAATGGAGCTTGAGTTTTTCATTCATTGTTGATTCTTCAGAGTGGAAAATTTGAATTTAATTTTGCTCAAGTTTAGAAATGACAGCTTTTCATTAATACCTCCATTCCCTCCACATGGCACATCAGTCGTAGTGTTATTCTTTGAACGGTTTTGCTGGAATCGCATGCCATTAGGTAGAGTAATTGTAGTTTCATTCCGATGATGTTCCTTTACGACTTCTTCGCAGAAATGGCAAGTAGCTGCACAATCCCTCTTCATCACTTCTAGATGCACTAAAAATAGCGAAATATGAATGAGAAAACGTTGATTGTTTTGGCAGTATATTCAATTGAGTCCTCTTTGTAAAGTAGCCACAATAGTCTCAATTGTGCTAGAACAATTTACCTGGTTCATCACAGAAATGTTTCACAAAACGACAGAATATGCCTTGATCGACGCACGACTGAGAGGGTTCTGGAAAAGAAATTGAAAGAATGAAAAGCGCTGATAGTCTTGCTCTGCTGGCTGCCTCTATTATTTTCAATTATTGACACTCAAAATCTTTAGACTGAATAATCACCAATGCTCGTGAATTTCCGCTCATTAATTAACGACTAACAACAATTATCAACATACTAGTATAGGACTGAGCTAGCCTCCTTTCCACCCCTTCTCCCCCATCCGTCCCTCCTCCTTCAAACTAGTAGAGGCTGGTGTCATTCCCCAGACAATTCACCTAAACTTCCGCAAGCAAAATTTGCAGCGGCCCCGCAGAATTTTGTTTACAATTACAAAAATGGAAACACGTTATTAAAGGAACTTTAACAGGATTTTCAGACTGGTTGAAAACGGGAACTTTTGCAAGTCTTACAAAATGCTGCTAAAACTCCGAAATATGCAGCGGTTCCGCAGCACTTTGACTTGCCAGTACTTCCGTACGACTTAGTGTTGTCTCGCCAGCATCTAGATGCTTTGTTTAGTATGTCATCCGTTGTGCAGAGGATAGTAAGTGAGTCTCACAGTTCAATAGAGCATCGTTTGAATTTAGCGTGTTCTCTTTTGCCGTTCTTGTTGGATAGTTTGAGAAATTCGGCAGCGTTTACTGAACTTCCGCAGGTGACTCGACGGAACTTTACCAAAAGTTCTGCGAAAGTTTGGTCAGTTGTCTGGGTTAACATCAGCGAAAAATGTTATTCTATATAAAAATGCTACTATTTACAGTGTTTAACTTACACAAAGACAATGTATTCTTCAGATAGATGCTGAAACATAGTCTGTTTCTAAAGAGATTACCATGAAAGTACCATGAAGCCTAATTAGCTACTTCTTTTTTTTCTAAAATTATCCCCACTCTTACATTATCAAGTGAATGTTCCACACCAACAAAACCGAAAAAGTATTACCTTCCGTTGTGCTGGTTGAATTGATCTTTTTGGCATTGATAATTTGTGCAATGAGTAGAAAGGCTCCAATCAGAAGCATTTCTGAGATAAAAACAATCTACTGAATCTGTAAATATTAGGTTGTCAAGAAAATAGTCGCTTTTTATTGCTCGCCACCGCACCATGCGCACTCCAAAAATTTGTACTGTTTGATAGTTCAAAGCAAGATTTACAAGGTGGTATCCATGATTCCGCTCCAAGTTTTTTGGGATAAATAATGAGTAAAATTAATGAGTGTCTGAAGTATGATTATAAGTATAAGTAAAGATTTGTCAGAACATTTTTGTGAGAACACTGAACATCATTAATCCGTTTTGTTCCTTTCCTTAGACGGATTGAAAGTGAGCCCTAGGTCTCCCCCGGAACTCCTCAACAAGGAAGAAAGACCATCATGTATACTTATTTGTTAATTTTGTAACTTTATAAAGTTTATTGGTCGGGCTAGTGAAGTTTTGTTGGTGAATCAGAAGTGCCGAAGCCAAGAAAAATTTCATATGCTTAAAAAATCGAAAACATCAAATCTTCATCCGAAGACCTTCTAAAGCCTCCCATTCACACACATGTATACTTACGAAATCAGACATTCATATATAAGTTGCTGTATTCGTTTCATGGCTGGAAATTGAAGAAACAAAAAATTTCATGTTTTTCCGAAAGGAATCCTGAGTCGTTCTTTTCATAAGTAAATCTACATTACTATACTCGTTGTTAGCATAAGTGTAATTTTTAGCCTATTCCGTGCATTAGTTTTCGAAAAATCAAATTTTGCTTTTCCCTTCTGAATTTTTGCACTTGAGCCGATTTCTCGGAATTCATTCTCAATAGGCTGAAATTCTACATTCACACTTACAATCGCTTGTAGTATAGAATTATTTATGTAAGAACGGCTCAGCATTGCTTTGGAAATTTCGTTTTTCTAGTCCCTAGTCGTGGAAAAAGACAGCAACTGATATGAAAGTCCTTTTTAAATTTCGGCTTCGACCCTTCCCGTGAGCAAACTTAGAGCGGAAGCATAAATGTGCTTTTGTAGAGCCTCTTTTGCTTTATCAAACAGTATCCCTCGCGACTTTTTTAGGTGCACCTGCTGGGGATGCTATGGCAAGCAATAAAAAACGAGATTGCCTATTTTTTTGACAATCTGATAGAAACTTCGCAAATAATCACGAGGATTCAGCAAGATGAAACAATGTTTTCACGGTTTCTTTGTCAATTTTTTTCCTAATAATCCTCGCAGTAGGATGAGCGAAAAAAATGAGAAATTTGAACCTCGATATGCTTTCATTCGGTCAATTGCTGAGGAACACTCAAGCAAAACGCAAACACGATCGTTGGATAAATTAAAGCCAGCAAGGTTTTCATGAAACCAATTTTTTTGCGCCCCTCACTCCAAGACAGGGAGCAAAAAGTGCTAAAAAGAATTACATTATATCTTTATTGGCACTAAGTCATTGTTACAAGCTTGAAATCATAGAAATGAAAAGCAGCACGATTCATGTCATCAAGATCAGAAACTATAGCAAAAATCGTACAAAGCAATGTCCTTTGCTGGCTTTATAGGGTCTATAAGGCCCATGCAGCTGTATTAACAAATGACCTGAGCTCTAAACGACTATGCATCTGTCCATTATGGTCGCGATGATGTTTGAACAAGCTGCTATGCACAGAACAGATATATCCCACAAGCTTCCCAAACTTGCTACATGTAGCATAGATGATAGCCACTTTTGTTTCAATTTTGAACCAACGAAGAAACAGTTTGAATTCAAATTTATTTACAGAAAACAGGTACATGAGCAAATTAGAGAAAATTAGGGAGTTACAATATACAAATGACACTCTATACAGATACATTTGAACTATGAGGGCAGAGTCCAGGCAAATTTGTTTTTCGATTTTTATGTAAAAACTGTTTGGGAGATAAATCAAACCATGGCCTAAACAGCAGCTCTTATGACTCACCAACCAAGAAGTTCGGCTCTCTTGAACAATATCCCACCCTTTCAAGACGACCAATCAACGGCCCCGAGTACATACGGTATTGGGCAAGAGTTTGAAGTCGGTTTCTCAATTAAGATTGATTAGCTGAGCTGCCGTTTGGAGAATGATTTGAGTATGCTTATGGTTAGTAAACATTGAAATTCAGGTACCCAGATCTGCCTAGACTCCGTCCAGCAAAATTATTGCTGGAGCTATCTACGGCAGCATTGGGAATTTGCGCAAGGCGCATAATTTGCTGGACACATGCAGGAGTTCCTCAACATAACACATGGAGCAGAGGCAGGTTGGCAAGTTGCCATACAGGGCTCCGCACATGCAGACACGCACTTGAACACGGGCTGAAAATTCCTGTTTTTACCAGCAAGAAATTTTCAATTTCCATTGTGATCAGAAAATTGATAAAGTTTTCCGCAGGACGATCGGGAAATTTGACAGCTGTGGAAGCTGGAGCTTTCCTGAGCCTTTCGAAAGAGCAAAGATTCCTTAAAAGTTTTCGGAGCTTCCGCAGAGCGTTATTCTGTTGAAAGTGCTGAAAGTTCCCTTTTCAAAATTGACATCACTTTCCCGCGAAAGTTCCTCTTTTACATGCACGTATTTTCCCAAAAGCAAGGAAACCTTGGAAATCTTGCGAATCTCGTTCATCCTGCGGAAGTCCTTTACCTCTTGAAGGGCATAGAGGCATAGACCCACCTGATTTTGTTGAGCACATTGCTTTGTGCATGTTTCAAAGCATGCTGGTTTACACTGCGGTGAGAACTGAGTTTCATACGGTAGATTGATAATGATAGGAGCGTTCAAAATCTGAAAAGTATACCCTTGAATTACTCTGACAGTTTTGATACCAAACTTACCACTGGCTGCTGTTGTGTGCAGGTTGGGGAGCAAGTAGGTTGACAAGCCGGAGCACATTCCACTTTTTGTACCTTGAATGTAAATGATTATTTCATAAGTATTTCCAATAATGAAAAAATATGATAAAATATATGATTAAGATTCAAAGCTATCAGTAATATTGAGTGCGACTTGTTGTGATGACTTGTTATCTGTCACGCGCTGAGCTATTGAGCATACGGCAGGTGTATGGTAGGTTTACGGTAAGTTCGCAGTACCCTACTAGGGAGAAGGCCCCAGCAATTGAAAAGGCAGATTAGGTAAGCGTATTTATGTGAAGTTTCGCCAAAAATTTCTGTTTTTATTTAATTAACTGTTCAATTTCTACTAAAGACGGAAGGTTGACGAAACGCTAAGTTACCCGCTACCCACTATTTCAGCACCCCAACATAGATATAATTATTGGAATCACAGAAAATTAAGTTTTTGCATTTTGTTTATACTAAGATTTTATTATTGTGGATTGAAAGTTGAAAGGGAATTTGTATTATGCTGCATTTGATGTTTGTGCCTCAATATTTTTTGGGGAAAAAAATATTCTATCCTATTTTTGCAACGCAAGTGCTTTCACAAGCTGGCATACAGGCTGGCGCACAGCTTAGCTGAGGTACCTGTAGTTGTTTTCATAAATTTTCACTTTTGCTAAAAAATTGAGCATTACTCACTGCTAGTGCCTGGATACATGATGGCTCACAAGCTGGTTGACATGCAGGTTGGCACGATGGCTGCGAGACCACTACCGGGGCCTGAACGGTACCCCCATAATACGGTATAGGTACGGTAACGGTCATAATTATAGGCCAAACGAGTAGCACTCACTGCTTGGATACAAGATGGTTCACAAGCAGGTTGACATGCAGGTTGGCAAGATGGTTGCGAGGCCACCACAGGAGCGGGAGCCTTAACATTACCATAAGAAGGGGCACACACGGTAGAAAAACGGTAAGAGCCGAAAGCTTACAGATGCGACGCAAGATGGTGCACATGTGGGCATACAAGCAGGGGCACATTGAGGCTGAGCTACGGGGACCATGACCTATAAAAGCTTCAAATTTTTTGGATTCCAGTGTAGGACCACTTTCTTTGAATAGTTGGGTAAAAATTATCAATCTCGCTTACTTTTTGTACACAGGTTGGCTCACACGCAGGCTGGCATTCCGGCTGGCAAGCAGGTGCCATGACGCCCTAATGAAAACCTATTTTAACTCAATCATTATAATTTTGATAATTCTAATATTACTTTTTCCACGCATACAGGCTCACAAGCTGGCATACACTGTGGTGCACACTGAGCAACTGGAGCGATAGACATCTGGCAAAATACTTATGAACGCAAAACATTTATTCTACAAATCTTTATCCTATGGTTCATTGAAGACCTTCTTATTGAGTATTATTTTAGGACCCGAATTTTTACTCTCAGAAATTTTGAAGAAAGCGTACTAATGTAAGGAAGCTATTCTGTACAAGAGGGTTGTTTATCTTATTCATTCAAATTTTTGTATATCCCAGGAAGCCTTAAATAAAAATACCTAGAACAACTGAAAATTCTTCTAAATAAAATAAATTTTGCTTAAAAATCAATCCACAAGCTTGATTTCATGTTCAAATAATTCAAGTTCTTCAAAGCTGGTTGATTGTTTTCAAAATTCAAAATTTTTTTTCGCAAAGCGCAACTTTAAGGTGCCAGATCAAAATGTTTTTAGAAGGCTTAGTCCTTTTTTTACATAGATTTTTTGAGAATCCTAAGCAACTCTTGCGCTACCACCCTTGAGGCAATCCTCGAGTTCGAACACAAGCTTAGCACTTTTAGACTACAAAAAAGTGAAGCTCAAACAAAAGAATTAGCGGATCATACCGACTGAACACATGATGGCTCACAAGCTGGTTGACAAGCTGGTTGACAAGAAGGAGCCGCTGATACAATCTAAACAACGGCTATTTATTTATTTTTTTGCCAGAATAAAAAAACACTCAGTGCTTTCGAAAAAACTGACTTTTTGAACACAGACAGGCTCACAAGCTGGCATACATTGAGGAGCACACTGTGGCTGAATTGCGTTCAACTGTGGTGCTACCTGGAAAAGAGAAAAAAGGTACCGAAAGACCTCGGTTAATCACAACAAACATATTCCAAAAATTTTCAAGAAGTTGTTATCGTCGCGAGGTAGCCGATTATCAAACATTCAATAAACTGCATTTCTTGGCTCATCTACCGTAACCATACCGTACTCCTAACGTGGCAGCAACATTTGAGGTTTCTTGGCACATTTACTGTAACCATACCGAACTCCTAACGTAGTAACAGAATTTGAAGGTAAGTTAGATGATTATTGAGAAAACTCAATAAACTGCATGTTTCTTGGCTCGTCTACCGTAGCCGTACCGTACCCTAATGTGGTAACAAGATTCGAAAGGATTACCTGTTGTACACACGAAGGCTCACAAGCTGGTTGGCAGGCTGGCTGGCAAAGTGGGGCTGGGGAAAGAAGCTAAAAATATTTTTTACTTGAATTACCTCTTGAGAGCAGAGACTGAAAATTAGACATTTAGGCCCTTATATCCTGAATTCTCTTCGCAGGATTTGCCTCGAACTGAGATATCTCTCAATTTTTTTTTCAGTTTTTCATCTCTCCCACTACCCCTCCCCCCCCTCCCCCGAACACCAGACGAAGCTCACAATCAATCATGCTCAACCATTTCAATTTTGCCTTACCTGCTGTACACATGCTGGTTCACAAGCGGGTTGGCAAGCTGGCTGGCAAGATGGAGCTGCTGGAACTACCTGTAACGTCACGAGTAACCAGGAAATGTTAAAAGCAGTGATTTTAGAGTCTACAATTATTTGCAAACGTGAATTACTGACATTCTGGATGCAGACGGGTTCACAGGCAGGCATACATTGGGAAGCACATTGTGGTGGAGCAGAAACCACTACCGGTTGCATAACCTGATGTAAAAGAAATTATAGGGGTAACTGCGCGAAATATTCATATTTGTATAGTCGATGACTAAGATGAGTATAATTATTTGCTGTGTAAGGAAAAGAAAACGCTTTTTGTGCAGAATTATAAAAAACTTGTTACTGAACCGTTTCGATTTTATTTGTCACCAATAATCACATATTCCCCCACGAGAATTACTTTTTTAAAGTTTGCTTGGCCCTAGGACTGAGTTTTTTGTCGTACCTGTTGAATGCATGATGGTTCACAAGCAGGTTGACAAGCTGGTTGGCAAGACGGAGCTACCTAAAAACTCTATGAATTCCAGCAAATGAGGACAACGAAAAATTTTCTATTTATGGATTTACTTACTTTCTGGATGCATACTGGCTCACAAGCAGGCATACACTGTGGAGCGCACTGTGGCTGACGCGAAACTACTGGCTGCTGAAATATAGAGATTTTCAAAAATTGGAAAAACATAAATTATGGGAAGACTGATGAATATCCAAAATGCTTTTTTATGATACAGCCGACTGAATTAACAACTTTTGAGTATGTTTTTGAAAATTTACTAGCTTTTCTTATCAAGAATTTTTTGAATTAAAAATCCTAGATTTTTGAGAAGGAAATCCCTACAAAAATATAGTTATTATACCTGTTGAATGCAGGATGGTTCACAGGCAGGTTGGCAAGCTGGTTGGCAAGATGGAACTACCTTGAGATGCGGCATTTGAATCTCTATTTATTATTATTCATATAATAATTAATTAACAAACTTTCTGGATACAGACAGGCTCACAGGCAGGCATACACTGAGGAGCACATTGTGGCTGGAGTAAAACCACTGGTTGCACAGCCTAAAGTAGGAAATTGCTGAAATTTTTTAATAAATCATTTTTTAGCTGTTTGATCAAGAATAGCAGAGGAATAAAGATATGGTATACTTGCTAATATGGACGAGAATATCAAACTTGTACATGTTTTTTGAGCAAGTCTTGTAGAAAATCCCTTTCCCTAATATATATGGTAAGCTGTTTTTTAAAATTTTTTCAGGGTTTGCGAAATCGAAAAAAAATGAAAGACCTTTTATAAAAACATAATTGTCATACTTGTTGAATGCATGGTGGTTCACAGGCGGGTTGACAAGCTGGTTGGCAAGATGGAACTGCTGTTACCTAAACAAATCAAGATGTTAAAGTTATTTCAATACTCAATTTACCATTTCAAACCTTTTGAATACATGTAGGTTCACAAGCGGGCATACATTGGGTTGCGCATTGTGGCTGAGCCAAAACAACGGGTTGTGGGGTCTGCTATAAGGTTCAAGAATTTTCGAAGAGAGATGTATGAATTGTATCGTATAGAGCCGAGATATTTTAATTAGATTTTAAATTACGCAGAGCAAGTAAAAGTCGAATCACGCTGACCACTGAGTCGTACTCTTTCGACAGAAGTTTCTCAGTGCTTATTCATTTGTTTTTTATGTAAGTTTTAGGGCATGTAACCAAAATTTTGCAAGACAAGTGCATATAAGATTAGGAGTCTGAAACGCGTGAGCTTTGCTTTGCGTTCAACCGCAGTATTAGGCTATGGATCAATTCGACTATAAGCAATTAAGTATCAAAACGGATTTTTAGCATTTACGCAACATATGGCACTCGTGTAACCTTCTTCACATGGTCAAATAAAAATGTAGATTTAAATGCCTCTTCAGACAGATTTTTCCTACCGAAGGATAGAGGGGCAATTTACTAGAAACAGCGGCTAAAGGATGTTAGTCAGTAATTTTGTATTTTTCGGTTCTATACTAGAATTGTGCAAAACGTTAGAAACACAGCAAAAACTCGTATAACATATCTGCTGTAATAACGGGATTTTTTCATACTTCTTGAGATAAAAGATCTAATTTCTAGTAAAACTTACCTGCTGAATGCAGGATGGTTCACAGGCAGGTTGGCAAGAGGGCACGCAGGATGGGGCAGCAACCACCTATAAGAAATTCGGGAATTTATAATCAACATGACTCATTACAATATAACCATTTCACAATATTTTACAGAGCAAATGTGCTTCTATCAAAGTCGCTTGAAAACAGTACCTGTTGAATGCAGGATGGTTCACAAGCAGGCTGGCAAGCGGGTACACAAGACGGGGCAGCGACCACCTAAAAGTGTAAAATTTTAAATTCAATTTGAGAAAAAATTTTCAAACCTTTTGGATGCAGACAGGCTCGCAAGCTGGCATACATTGAGGAGCACATTGTGTTTGTACAGGTACGAGAGCCTAAATAGAAAAAACTGTGGATAATTTTGATATTTTGTAGAAAGATTGTGAGGTTGCGAAAGGGGGAGAGGAGGGTTCTGAATGGACTCTGGAGTCATATATTGGATGACTACCCCAACTTTACTTGCGAATGATTTTGATCGAAAAACTCTGCAAAAAGGTAGTTAGTCTCGTCTTTTAAAGAACTCAAAAAATTTTTTTGCTGATTTTTTTGAAGGACGATACTTTTTGCGTAAGCTGAAAGAGTATGCGTCTCTTACAAAGTAAAATCCTACAAATACGAAGCTATTTGAATTACCTAATAAATGAGTTTCTACACAATATCATAACTCATATAAAACATTGTAAAATGTTTCTTTCCGCAGAAAAGATGGGGGAGGAGAAGAAGTGTGGGGTTTCCCTCTTATAAGACCTGGACTCTTACCTGTTGCACACAAGATGGCTCACAAGCAGGCTGGCAAGCTGGCTGACAAGATGGAGCTGCGATGACCTGATGAGGTGAAGATAATCACTCAAAATGAATGGAAAGAGTTCTCAAAGATACAAACATTGTAAACCTTCTCGATACAGGTGGGTTCACATGAGGGCATGCATTGATTGGCACATTGGGGTTCAACTCGAACAATCTAAATTAAAAACTGTTACCCAGGATGTTACAATAGAGGTTACCTATAGTGCAATTCACAAAAAATATCCTTCTATCTGCTAAATTATTCATTCTTTTTTGCTCTATTTGAAATTTGAGATTAAGAGTTCATTATATACCAGAAGTCTGGTGAATCTACAGAAAGTTTAACTTCTATCACGTTGGAGTTAAGTCCCATCCCCCACCCCCTTCCTCGCACACTTCAGCTGCCGAAAGGTGCGGGTTAATCCTATTTAATCTTTGGCGTACATAAGCAAACAAACGCTCATTTGCTGACCAGCGAGAAAAACTCACTTTCTGTACACATGCTGGCTCGCACGCTGGCTGACAAGCAGGAGCGCAAACTGGCTCGGTAACAAGCGTCGGTGTCTGCAATTGCACCATTCTCTAAAAGTCATGGAGTGCAATGGCTTCATCGTTGCTGGGGAGCAATCAAGCAAGGAAAAATTATTTGTCAAGTTGTAGCTTTGGAAAATACCAAATTTGTAAAAAAACGTCCTTCAGAGGGATTGGCGAAAATAAATTGCACAGTTCACTTACAGGCTCACAGATTGGCTGACATTGTTGCACGCATTGTTCTTCGCATGCTGGCATTTGTTGTCCAGCACAAGCAGTCTGACAGACTGGCTGACATTGATTGCATGGAGGCTAAAAACTAACATTGATTTAAAAAAATTACAACCAACGCAATATTGCAGACTTACACGCCCGGCGGTAACAAATGGATTTACCCTAGCAGGAACTGGAGGATTTCCAGGGTTGAGATAGATAGGCAGCATTTGTTGACTAAAATATCAAAGATATATATACGAGTTTAGCTTCCGCAGTTACAGACAATGACAAATTATCAAAACCCTACCACATGGGCTGACAACTGTCTTGACATGATGGTTGACTAGGTTGACAGCTTGCTGCGCATTCTTGCATGCAAACTGGCTGAAAAATGAAAGGTAAAGCTCTGAATGGCTGGTGAAGCTCTGATTGGTTGATGAAGGTGGGCGGGCTGACTCTGAGTGGTCACTAACCTGACATGTCTTCTGACAGGTATTACTGCACGACTGCTGGCACAGTGCTACCGGCTGTTGCTGCTGTGCGCATGAATCCATACACGTCGTTTGGCATACTGGAGCACATTGAGCAATCTGAAACTCAAGGCTACTTGGAACCTTTTTGCCTCGATATCGTAGCCCTCCTACAGTAACCTTACAGGATCCTTACAGTGGTTAAACCAGAATATAGTCTACAAGACTTGATACGCCTAGAAATCATACTGATATTTCAATTTTCATTGAAAAGAATGAATTAAATACTGATATACTCATACCGTAACGTAACATCGAGTCTAAGTGCTCTTACCATAATCTTACAGTAACAAACGATGCTAGCACTTCCTCTACTAGCATTTCTCAGTATTTCTTTCGAATAAAACGGCTACACCAACTCAACACTGTTCCTACAGTAACCCTACAGTAAGAAAATATGTCACCATTTACTCTACTTTTATTTCTCAATATTTCCTTAGAAATGCCAACCTTGATGGGCTCAGCACATGGACAAGCCGGTGCAGGTGTGCATTGACAGTTTTGCTGGAGTCCAAACTGAGCGACTGGCTGACATGAACATTTTGGGGTTACTGTAGCACAATCACATGCCAACTGTCGACGATGGCGGAGCTGTAAATAAAAGAAAAAGTATATAGCAGAGGTAATGTAAAGTTGGGGGGAAGGTTTCTGCAAAATAAAACTAATATCTACATAGTAAGTGTATCTTTTTTGATTCTAAAAGAAAAGAATTTACATGCCGCACATCTACAGTAACCTTTTCTATGAATACCGCATGCCTATAATAGGCTTACAAGCGTAACCGTATTGCTACAATAGTCAGTTTTTATAGATACCGTACGCCATAGTGAGCCTACCAGCACATACCGTACCCCTACAGTAAACTTGGAATCATAAAAAAACGAGTAATAGCGAAATATTATCGCAGATTTTTTTGGTTTCTGTTTAAGCTGACAGATAAATTAACGAGTGCCATGAGTTTTTTCGTAGTTAGAGCTTACAAAGAAAAGGTACTCGGTGACCGTAGCCATTCGTAATGATTTGAATATCAAAAAATGCGCCTTCTGATGCTGGTTCGAATACTTTCTATCTGCGAAACGATAACCTAGATGGAGTTATGATTATTTTTTCACGAATAAATTGCGCTACTGCGGAGGGTGAAAACGAGAAATTTTTCTCTTTTTTTTTTGAAATGCTGAAAATGATTTAGACAGGTATAATACAACGGTCTTCCTTTTAAAATTCTCTTCAATAGCTTCAAACGGTAACCTAGAATAATATAGGTGAATTTTACTACCCAAAAGTGCACAAATTTTCTAGGAAAAAACTTAATACTTCCTTCAAAAATCATTTCGAAGATATCGAGCAAAGCAATCAGCGTTTCGAAATGCATCTTATGTTATACATTGTATTCCAAGTGGCCACGGTCACCGAGTATCCTTTCCTTGTTGAAGACAATAGGATCTGATGAATGCTTACCGGTTCAGCAGCGGCCGTTGCCAAGCACAATACGAACAGTAGCCAGGACGAATACATTCTGCAACACGGCGACGGGCGACTACGAAGCATTTAAAGCATTCCGTACGTTCGTCCGGTTTCGGGCGGCTTCCGGAACATGAGGATTGAGGTGTTCGTCGAGAGGTCATCTCCAACCAACGACAACGTCCGGTTCTTCAGGCGCTAAAGCGTAAACAGATCAGGCGGATAAGCACCCGCGCGACGGTCTACGGCATAATCATTGAGCTCCGCGCTAAGTGCCGCGGCGGGTGGCCATTTTACAAGTGGAAATGGTCTTGGGAAAAGGAGATAAAATTTTTTTGTTGCTTGATTTCAACAATCAACCTCAAGCATAGAACTTCAAGAAAATCCATCTCCATCCATTTTATTTATTTTATTATTTATGTTATACATAAAAGTGCGCCAGAAAATTTCAAAAAACATCCAAGAAGTATGCAAAGCTCATCTAGAAAATCATACAAAGAAATTCTCAAAAAATCCTAGCATGTCGAAAAAGATCATAGTCTCCGTGCTGGAAAGACTAAGTTTTCCCTCTTCAAGGAGTGAGCCTCTACCGAGTTTCTTGGATGTATGTCAAAAGGCGCAATCTTTACTGCCAGATTAGCGCATTTTTAGCATTTTATGATTTTCTAGGAGCAAATCAAATTTCTAACACGATGAAATGGTCGTCTCATGAGTTGTTCGATCTTATAATTTTGAAATAGATTCAAAACATAAGTTTGGAGGTAAAAAAAAGCGTGAAATTGCAAGCAATGGCGTTTTGTAAATAATTTAATCAGGATTTCACCAGAGGCCGCCAAACTTGGCAAGTGGTAGCTTCTGATGGTTAGTGAGCTACAGCACTTTGTCTGATATTATTGAAAGACTCGCATAGCTTTGAAATGGACTGTTAAACTGGTGACATTAGGAAAAAATCGCGCCTCTTGACCGTCTCCCGACTTTTTTTCCCTTCCCCGGAGCGGTATTGGATGGCAGATGATACAAGAAGCAATATTTATCAGCCTCCCAGTCGCTATTCGAGCCATTATTAACGAGTGCACGAACAGGCGAAAGCGCCATCCCATAATTTATGGGGGTTTGGCGCGCATGGCTCATGGAGATCGGTCACGTCGAGTACCTGCGTCGGGTGCCCGATATGGCCAAATCTGTCAGATTGTAACATATCTTCAAAAAGACAGGAGCCCGAGCACCAGTTTGACTTTGTAAGTCGCAGGCGCGCGTGCCCACGCCTATACGAACTGTAACCTGTACAGGAATCCCTTCCCACATAGGAGACTGATAAATACCGCCCCAAGGCTTGGCCTGACCAACTTAACCCAGGACTGACGAATCCGTTAGGGACCCAGGGGAACAGGAAAGGTGATCTCTGTGCAGAGGGCTCACTGGTCGTTGATTAGAACGGCTTTTTCGAGAAGGATGACTCTCTGAGACTTGCAATGGAGAAGAAGCTAAAGTAGCTGTAACACTCCAACTGCAAGTTTTCTCCTGAGATGAACTCGACATGCATGGCTTATTCTTCAAATAAAGCATATGACGTTGACACGATTAATTAGGTATTTGCGTGTGAGGAGTCGCACAGGACAGCATTATTTATCACTTACCATGAGACTCCTTGTGTTGCATTGCAACAACTAGTAAAGTTGCGGAAGTATTTTGATAAATCGTTGGAAAATTTACTTGATACACCGTTTCAAATTCACTCGACTTTATCGCTATTTCTGATGCAGGTAAGACTTTGCTTCACTGAAGACCTTCATCTTCAGCGACAAAAATCTACACTTTTTTAAACAATTTTTTATTATTTGTTCTGCGTATCGGTAGCATTTGAAGATTGGTCTATAATGTGAACAATTTTGACCACTACTTTTTAATTTCGTATCTTTCATGGAATGAAATTTGTTGGCAATTTGTTAGAAATTTTCTTCCCACTTACGCATCGCCCAAACAATTGTAGATCGACTATGTAAAATTTGGAGTCAAATGATGATAGATCAGGTGATCCGAAACCAATAGGGTACTTAATACCTGTACTTCTACGAGTATCCGCTTCCATACTAAGATCGTGAATATATATATATATATATATATATATATATATATATATATATGACCAAACTGCATATTCATATGATTTTGCAAAGTTTTTTGGCACTGAGATGGAAGATGCAATCTATTCAAATTTTATGAATTGTTCTTTGAATTTTGTCTGCATAATAATTATCTGACCTCTTACAATTGCTATTACTAACAATATCAGTATTTGTAGAAAAATACCGGAAAAACGTTACACTTTTCAATCTATGTTTAATCGTCATAAGTATTTAAGTACAAATTTACAAGTTATATCAATTATTTACCCGACTTCGCTATCCGGATGGTCAGCAGAGCCATTTGCGAGCCAAAAGCTCACTCAACGTTGAGAGATTTCATGTAATGCTTTTGTCAAGAGTCACTTAGGAAAAGGAAATGCATGCACGTGTATGTAAATAGTATGTAATATGTAATAGTAGTAGTCGTAGTATGTAATAGTCGTATGTTCCAAGCGTTTCATTTGAACGAGCTCCAAAGAGCGCGCTGATCTTTTGAGCTGTTTGCTTTGCTTTCTTATGCTTCATATCGTTGTAAAACAAGCACTTCTTGTCAAGAAAACAGGACAAGTTTGTGAAAACTTTGGTCATAGTAGAGAGATTTCATAACCACGGTTTAGTTTCGTTTTTTATAAAGAGTGACAAAACTCGCAGAAGCTTTATCAGAATAAAGGCAATAGGTAGGAAATGTATTACTTTCTGATATCATTCCTGTTTGAAAAGAACGTTTACTTCATTTGAGTCCTACTGCAAAAAAATGTTCCGGAAGACGGCCACCAGATGGACAGTCTCCATCAGGCCCAAGGCATACCTCACGCAATTTCAATCGCCACGCTCTAGCAATTGTCAGATGTCTTCAAATTCGGTACTGACAAACCTTTAGAACACAGCACGTACAAGTTTTGTAGGTTGATAAAATGTCCTATCTTCCGTACATTCACAAATCCCTTACGATGCGTTATGATCAAGGTCAAGCGTGGGGTGTGGCACGTCACACCTGGGGGTCGTAGAGTGATCGGGAAAAGGAAGGGGTCGTTAACGAGGTGATAGTGATGTTAGCGACATTATGCCATTCAAAAGGTCTGATAGGCCCATTGTGCAAGATACCAGCACTGATGTTTTGGCCTACCGTCACACATGCACAATTTAAAAGAATCCTAAAAGCATAAGACCGTATGACAATTTTGCCACATTGATGGCTCTTCGAACACCTACGGAGAGCTTGATCGCAGCTGAAGATGATCCGACATAAAAACATCTTGTCGAACTTTGAAGAACGGATATAAGAAGAGTATTCCGTCATCGTGATCTAGTGGAGTATGTTGCGAAAGCGAAACATCATGGACCGGTCACATTATGAGAAGAACAGATGACAGATGAACACTAAGAACATTTGAGTGGACTCCTCGCGTAACCAAACTTCCTCGCGAAAGAACTCCAACGAGATGATCAGACGTGTTCTTAGAACGGATGGACTAGCTGAGATATCAGCTGGATACATTTTTGCACCTGGAACTCGTCGACGCAACCCACGACGACATGCAAGAAGATCGCGGATGTACTAAGCAAGAGATAGTAACAAATGGAAACTTCAGTGCTGGGGGCCGCACGTCAGGTGAAGACGTGCGGTTAAGTAAGTATCTAAGGAAGTCATATTCGAAATAGCCTTCATAAGTAGCCTTCTGAGGGTTATCCACCTATGGGCACGGTGTTCATAGATAAAATGATTCAAATTTTTCAATGTCAAAAAGAGGAAATTTTCTTTTTGGGGTCACATTTTGGGCCGTAGTTTCCTCGTTATTCGGTTTTTTTCTACAGAGACTGCAAATTCACAGCATATGTGTTTGTCCAGATCTATTGCACCTCTCATAAATCTACCTTGTGGTATCAGAAATGCTAGCTGCTCGGGATGTTCAACAAGTACCATCTGAATGAATATTTAAAGTCAGGTTTCCGGTCAATCCAGTTTGAGCAAGAAACTTCATGAAAAAAATGTTATGTAGTTGTAAGACTATCGTCAAGATTGAATGAGCTAATAAGATGTAAGATGAGCTTGTAGTAGCAGGAGTGTGTCGCTAAGTACGCATGCTGAGCTGCAGGACGGTATGAAGACTTCAAATCTCGACTGTACATCGGACGTTTGCTTATGAAACGGTTAGTCGGTCAAAAGGTCATCCTTTTTGTTTATAGGGTCTTGCTGGGCTGTATCTGCTGCCTCGGTCATGTCTGACAGAATATGCATACAAACGAACGATACAAACTAAATAACAATGAAACAATCATGCAGGTGCGAGTAAGTGAGTTAGGAAATACTTAATGTGTGTACTTTTTTAAGACACTGATATCTGACACCAACATTCTTGCTTGCTGTGGTGAACGTTGCGGTCAGGTTAGTTACACGAAATCTTGCATTTGAAACATTAGCGATAGCGCTTATGTCGCGTATTAAATTCGAATTTCCTGCTTAAAAACATGTGAACATTGACAAAAACACGTTGCTTTTAACAAGTTGAACTGCTCGATTGCTACAGGTGAGCTGCTTGTTTATTTTACATAAAAGGCGTTGTTGATTATTAAACATTGCTGAAGGCTGGTAAGAAGTCGATGTGGCCAAACCAAACAAGCTGCATATCGTTAGATGGAGCATGAAGCGCTGACTTTAAATCTGTTCTCTTTATCTGCTTATCACTTCTTTGGACGAAGCTATCAGCAATTAAAGGGCAATATTTTGCTAAGAAATTATGCGTGAAAGTGAAAATTTGGCCTTACAGAGCCTTCGGTTTAATGCTGGGCCAAAACATGCAGCTAACTTACTTCAAACTCTTAAAGTCTAAAGATGAGCGGTAATTGCAACAATCTGCATAATTTCACAGTTTTTATGTAGGGTTTTTTTTATAACAAACCTGCTTGTAACTTTATCCACTGAAGCGGTAAGCAGATAAAAAAGACAGATTCGAAGTCAGTGTTTCATATTGCATCGAATGGCATACGGCGTTTTTGGTTTGGCCACTTCGACTTCTGACCATTCCCTTGTTAGCATGTCAGATGACCCCTGGGAGACAAGTTTCAGTGAATTTTGAGGTTTTTCAAACATTGGGACAATCAAGTGAGGTGGCCATTTTCGACATGTTAACTTCGTTTCAATGGTGAGTAAACTACTTATTTTTGCACTTGTTACAAGTTTTGCTACTTCTTTGTTCGTATTAGGAATCCCGCTTCAAATAACCTCCAAAATCTGGAATTAAGAGCAAGCCAAAATCTCGTTTGACCTATTTTTCGCCTTCAATTTCTCGGACTAGAGAAGACCAATCAGGCTCAAATCACTTTAAAGTTACAAGGATCAGGCTTTCGAATACACTTGTTCTTGTTGCCTTCACTTGCGACTCACTAACGTAGACTTAGCCTTCTACCGTAATCCTATATTTTCGCAGTGTTTTGCGTTTGGATAGCTGAGGAAAAATGACTATATCTATTCTAGACGAAACAATTTGAAATGAAATTTCTGCTATGTGGAGAAGAAGTTTCAGCAGTAGCAATCATATAAAAAAGACAGAGATTTGAATGCTTTGAAGGTAAATCAATGGGGTGTGGCACAACCCCTAAAAGCCGTGGCCGCCACAGCTTTTTGTTGTGCCACGCGCCATTAACTTACCTTTGAAAGGAATTTTTGCGAACAAAACCCATATAGTATAGTCTGTGAGCAATTTGAGCCTGACTCATCTTCTTCGCTCTTAGTAAAAGCTGGTGAAAGCGCAGCCATTGGAAGCGAAAAATGTGATAAACGAAATTCTATCCTGCTTCTAATTTCACAGTTTGATGGTTTGAAGCAGGATTCATGGTATGGGAAAATAGGGAGCAATGCTTTGTATTGAGTAAAAAAGCGTTAGCTAATTCATTTTGAAATATAGTTACTCATCTTGGAAAATGTTCACTTTACTTGGGTGGTCCAGTATTGGGTCCTCCGAATTTGCTATAACTTGGCCCATGGTGATTATTTGGCATGATAATTACGAATATGTACCTAATTAAGCATGCTAGAGTTACGTCATGTCTATGCAAGAGAAGAGGGGGTAGGTATTAAGACAGAAAAAGGTGAGGGGGGGTCGTATCCGACGCTTGTGTGCCACACTTGCCCGACCCTGGTTATGACCAACTGGAGTACTGACGAATAGTGTCGCGAATGAAATCTCGTGAGGTATCGTCGAGTCTTTTGTAACTTAATATGTGTAGTGCACACTATACACGCTAACTGACGAACTGCGAAACTAGAACCTGCTCATTTCCAGTTATTGCTCCCCGTTTCCTTGTTTCTTTTGTTTTAGTTGATTTGTTAGTCAGTAGAACACATTTCTACATTTTGTTAAGCCTAGAATATTTTACTGGGAAGTTACGTATGAGTGCCTGCTAATAATTTTAGTGTGCAATCTCACATATTGAGTTAAAAAGGACTCGAGGTATGTTTTCTGCCTGAGGCGCCGGGCTTGCCTTTTCTTAACATGTCGCGCGCGGCAACTTCACCTCACCTCCTCGCTTGTGCAGAGTTGCGTCCTGTATGGAAATGCAATGACAGCAGTCATGCGAGCCCATCAAAATTTTGTTGAAAAACCAATTCAAAAATTCAGGAAAATCTGCATGATGAGCGTTGGCGGTGATAGCAGACATTCTCACGCTGTTTGATAACAGTTTTATTATTGAATAGATGTGCTACTTCTTTATTGATGGAAATAAATTACTGTGATTTCGCTTTCTTGATGAAAAACATTGGCCCGATGCTAGCGACATGAGCGAAGCTACTCAACAACAAGAAACAGATAAAGGCAGCAATCACATAGAGACCTGATCCTAAATTGGATCTATGCACTAGAGATGTGAACAAAGACCAACTTACTACTCTGCCGAACAAAATCGCGGTTAATCGGTATTTGTAACTGTTTTCTTATTGCATTAACAATAGCGCTAGCTTGCTTTGCTTTTCCTTGCATTTCCATGAGTTGCACTAAGCTGACCTGCAAAGCAAAAAAGACACATCTACAAAGCGTCAGCCTCATCTCAAAATTGAGTGTGTTATTCCCATTACAAGTCAACACTGCTGTAATTCTCAATAGATTACATTTTTCTTCCTTTTCTATTACAGCATCTCTCCATTATGGTCCACCTCCTCAATGTGGCATGGTGGTGACCCCGGTGGCGAAATGCAATGTCAGCCGACTGTATACTCTGGCAAATCTCAATCTACAAAGGACTTCAACTTTTCCGGTTTCGGCCGAATGGTAATGAGCGGACCAAGCAGAACCCCTCCGTCTTTCTGCAAATAAGAATCGTTGGTGTTCTCCACTTCAAGTTTCAGGGTTGGCGATCGCCCTTTGAAAGCAAAAGCATCTTTTGATAACCCTGCTTTTGTGGGGAAATCTTTGTTGGTTTACCAGTAGCAAGGCATACTTTTGTTCTTTGTGATTTGCTCTATTTCTTAGAAGTTTTTTGGTATGTGTCTAGGCGAGTCGCTTTGCTATTGTTCGTTTTTCTTACACCTTGCCATATCTCCACTTCCGTGACTGCTGGCACTGGTCCTTTAGACCTAAGGCATGCTCCCCTCGATTTCGTCAAATCGCCACATCAACGCGATTTGGCGATTTGCAGATGTCTATAGACTCACCGGTTTCAACTGCATAGGCAGTAGCTTCTGTGAGTTGTTGCAAAAGCATGAAATTTGGCCTAATCAAAGCATGCTTACGACCAGATATGAAAAGTCGTTGCAGTGCCAGATCGCAGCGACTGAAATCGCGTGAGGTATGCCTTAGGCCTTGAGAGGTGCGGCCTGCGGTGGCCATCTCTTCAAAGTAAGTTCTTCTTACGGTGATGTCCTCCGATCAGCGTCTACCAAGTCTTTAATGTGGAGGAATGCTCCATGTCTTCATTGGACTCTGATTCTCTTCTCGCTACTCGGTATACTTTAAGTTCTCCCCCTCGACACTCCAGTTTTTTGTAGAGTTCTTTCATGTAGACCTTGCCTCCTTTATAAAAACCTTCGCAGCGCGTCTGATTCGCTAGTATGTCTGATGGTCCTACTCCGATTGTATTATGTACGAATGTACGCATTTCTCTTCTTCTTAATGACTTTTCGTTCTCGTTCTTCCACCATCATTTCTTGGTTGATCTTTCTTTCATGTACTTTCCAAAATCGTATGTGCGGAATATGGATCTGATCTCTCATGCTCAGATAATCGTGGGAGGCAGGCGGTCATGCGAATTTTGAGCAAGCGGGCACCGGAAAAATAGTTCGCTGATTTCTTGCGCCCCGCTTGCAGAAATTTGGAGGAATGTCGACCAATTTTTAGACGAATGCTTGGAGAACTATCGCGGTTTTCCTATAGATTAGTTGCGACGTAGGGGACGCATTCTCGCGGACTTTCCGCGAGAATATAAAAAATTATTGAGGGCCGCGCGGTCCTTTGTGGAGGACCGCACAACCCTCAGGTACTTTCCGCTAAGAGAAAGTACCTCAAACCACAGATGCGATAGTGTGAGAATTTTCTCACCCCTCTTCACCCCTGAGCCGGGACCAAGGTGACCCCCTTCACCAAAAGCCGAGAAAAAAATCAACAGTGAGGTAAGGTTTAGCAAAGGAGATATTTGTACGTGAATTGTTTACGTACAGGAATGGAGGAGTCTGTTGAAAAAAGTGCTTGGTGACTGGTGTGAGTAGTGATGGACATTTTGGAGTTTTTAACATTAAGAAATTCGTAACTTTTGTAGTTGAACATATTTTACCGCGAGATGGTCACCGTTGGAACCGTATCCTCCTCCGCTTTCAGAAAGCATATAGCATATCTGATATCGGTTCAAGAAAGTGCTTGGTGACGGGTGTGAGTAGTGATTTCTGGACATTTTGGAGTTTTTAACGTATAAAAATTGATAAATTTTGTAGATGAACATCTTATACACCGTCATGCTTAGCTTTGGAACCGCCTCGTCCTCCGCTCTCAGAAAATATATACTTTGCCTGGAGTCCTTTAAAAAAAGTGCCTGGGTGAAAGGTGTCCTAGTGATTTTTGGGAATTTTCGAGTTTTTAACGTATAAAAATTAATAACTTTTGTAGATGAACATCTTGTACGCCGTGATGCTTACCATTGGAACCGTCTCGTCCTCCGCTTTTAGAAAATAAATACTTTGTTTGTCCAATAGAAAAAGTGTCGGGTGAAGGGTGGGTGAAACTTTTATAATGTGAGTGCTCAAGTACAGGCTTTTTTACCATTGTAAAAAGACGTCTACTTGAGCTCCCCCATTATAAAAGTCCCACCCACCCTTCACCCGGTACTTTTTCTAACGGACCCCAGGCAAAGTATATATTTTCTAAAAGCGGAGGACGAGGCGGTTCCAATGGTAAGCATCACGGCGTACCAGATGTTCACATCTACAAAAGTTATTAATTTTTATACGTTAAAAACTCGAAAATTCTCAAAAGTCACTAGGACACCCTTCACCCAAGCACTTTTTCTAATGGACCCCAGGCAATGTATATATTTTCTGAAAGCGGAGGACGAGCGGTTCCAATGGTGAGCATCGCCTCGTACAAGATGTTCATCTCCAGAAGTTACGGATTTTTCTATCTTAAAAACTCGTAAATATCCACAAATCACTACCCACACTCTTTACCAGGCACTTTTTCAACAGACTCCAGGCATACTATATATTCTCTAAAAGCGGAAGACAAGATGGTTTTAGAAACATTTCGTTGTCTACGTTGCTGTTCATTTACGAACTTCTTCTCTTAAAAAATTCGTAAATATTTAAAAATTGTCTAACTCTTCTGGAAACAAATCTTCTCGCATGCACATTCTCTATGGTAATTCCAAAAACAGGCAGGGTGATGTAAAAAAGGAAAAGGAAATGTTAAAAAATAAAAGGTGCTGGTTAGAAATATAATTGTGTGCTAATCTAGCAGCACAGGTTCACATTTCACAAAAAAGATAACCAGTGATGGTAAGGAATAAATTATGAACTTTGACTAGGAAAAATTTATTTATTTATTTATTTATTTATTACGCCAAAGGCGCGCTATAATAGCAAATTAGTAACCAGCAGATGAGAAAAAAAACAGTGTTAGAACTCAAACAACAGAAAAGGTACTACTGCATATATTATCGAATAGGGACATTCGTCGACCGAGGTCCAGTATAATAGAAAAAGGCATTAAGGTTTAGCTACTAGAAGCTGCCAGAAAAATTGTTCACATGAGTTCGGGCATGCCACCCTCGCTCGACCAGCAAGCGGCCTAGTTTCCAGGAGTATGACGTAGGCAATGAAAATAAAAATGGGCATGCTAGCTAACAAAACTAGGCAGCCCCCGCGCTACCGACATACTGGATGAACCACAAACTCATTAGAGATGAATGAAATGAGCTCAAGAGTAAATGTACTCGGCAGTCTTCGTAGGCTAGCCTTAGATAACAACTCAAAGAAAATCAGACCCAAACCGTACAAATGTGTTCCCGATCAACTTCCATTAGAGGTAAACAAAATCAACAGAAAACTATCATGTGAACAAAACGGAATATCTATCAACGAATTAAAGCAAAGTTGTGCACTGAATCACCAGCCCAACGTGAGTTGTCAAGCAATAGAGGCGAAATATGAGGCCAACCGAGAACAAGGATCTGAAAAAGGAAAACGAGGGAAAACAGCCAAAAGCGAAGAATAAGCTAAACTCCCTTGCAAGCATTTTAGACTATGACAGAAGTGCAACCGCCAAAACGAGCAGGCAGCAGAAGCTCAGCCATATTCTGGAAGGACACAGACAAGAAAAGCGAAAAAAAAGACAATAAGAAAAAGGAGCTTAAACATCTAGAAGTAATCAGACTCGTCAATCCCTAACAAACTGAAAAAATCGCATTTCGAAAGTTTTTCTCTAAAGGTTTTTGTGTTAGCAGAAGACAAAACGGAATCCGGTAATTTTTGCATCCAGCGTGCAGTGCCAACAAAAAAGGAATTGCGAAAAAGAGTATTTGGCTGAGAAGTTTCTGTTACAGAACAACAAAAGTTAAACCTACCTGTCCGTCCATGGCAGGGTTTCCACACCCAAAATTTACTGGGCAAAAGTTTGGTCTCAAGACATATGATTTGAAACGCAAGGACTAAATCGGCCACCACCCTTCGGTGAAGCAAGCTATGGAGTTTGAAGCGTTGCAACCTGCATCTGTAGGATGGGCAGCAGGGTAATTGTCATTAGGAAAAAGTCTATAGAAAAGGATACGAGTAAATGTCATCTGAACATTCTCTCATTCAGTCAGAATATCTTTTTTTATATATGGACTCCATACTTGGGTAGCGTATTCTAAATGCGGAAGGACATAAGCCACATACGTTCTAATGTAAACATTCTCATGAACATGCCTCAAGTTACGCAGCAAAAGAAACATTCTGTGCAGGGCCGCACGTGCTATTTTTTCAATATGGGATCTAAGTCGAAGGTCATGGTCAAACAGAACTCCAAGGTTTCTTATAAGTTCAGGTCTAGAGATGGAGGTGTCAGAGTCCCATAATCTTCAAAAGTGCATTTATCCACCCTTTTTCTTGTGATAGTCAAGCAAGCACTTTTAGTTAGGTTTACATCAATATTATTTGTAGTTGTTCAGTGCAACATATTTTGCACTGAATTTTGTAGGCACTGTGTTACTTTCTCCCTATCAGCATCTGTATATGATGCAAATACTTCGATGTCATCAGCATAGGCCATAATCTTAACTCTGTTGTCGGTAGAGAGGCTAGGAAGATCAATTGTATAGATATTGAAAAGGGGAACAATACACCACCCTGTGGCACACCACTTGTTGCTGGGAAAATTGAAGAGGTAGCAGAATTACAGCGGTCGGAAAAAGTTCCATCAGACAAATAAGATGAGAGCCATTTCAAAAAAGGGCCACGAATTCCCACTCCAAAAAGCTTTTCAATCAATTTGGGAATGTCTACTCTATCAGCTTTAGACAAGTCAAAATAAAGAACATCAGTGGCTCGGTTTTGAGAAGCTTTTTTCCAGTAATGTCCACATACCAATATCTTCTCAGCAACTTTACAAACAACAGAGTTAATAGTTATAGGCCGAAATTTGGTAACTTTACGCGGGTTCTGAACTTTTGGCACTGGTACAACTCTTCCTTGCTTCCATAAATTTGGAAGCTCACCAATGCTCAGAGAGAGATTAATCAGTATAGAAGCGGGAATTGCCAATTGATTGGCACATTTCTTGAATACAATCTGGGTAATACCATCAGTAGTCAAAAACGTGGATGACTTCAATTTTTTCAGAAGGCTAGCTGTTTCCCAAGGAAACACTTGTGGAATCTGAGAAAGATAAGAATGTCTTTGTCCAATGTTACTCACAGCAAATCACTGTTTGAACAAACAGTTGTTGGAGCTCGAAATACGGACGCAAAATAGCGCCCTAAGTGCTCAGCTTTTTCTTGATCGGTTTTGATCGCGTTACCATTGTCATCCCTTGATGTCTGCACAGTTGTCTGTTCTTTCAAAAAAGAGCGAGCATATTTGAACAAGGGCACAGGGCTCATATTGGCTAGCATTCTTTGTTTATACGCATTAAATTTGGCTAAATGTCTGGATAGTTCCTTAGTAACGTTCTTGTAATTTGCAGAATCTAATGGGTTTTGGATACTAGAGAATAACCGGTTTCTTTGTTCAGTTAGAGTCCTGAAATGCAAAGGATAACTGCAAGTTTTAATTGTCTTTTTTTATGTGGGACGTTCGCAAAAGCAGGTCATGTAGTAGATCGGTAAATCGTTGATAAGCTTCATCGATCGAATTTGCATTCAGTAATGACCACCAATCAATAGTGTCCAGAACGGAGGAGATACTCAAGTAGTCACCGCGACTGTAGTCAAGGTAAGAAATCATCGATAGAGATTGAGAGGTCAAAACAAATACTAGCATGATCAAACACACAAAGAGGAGGTTTAACAATCACATTACGAACAACAGGGTTGGATGAAAGTACAAAATCCAAAACATTGCTCATTCTTGTTGGACTTAGAACATAGTGATCAAGCGAAAGCTTATTGAACAAAGTCATGAATTTTCTAGATGTAGAGCATGAAGGAGTATTATTCAACCAATCGATTGCAAGACTGAAATCACCTAATAGGGCAACATTGGAATGGTTGCAACAAAAATTCTGCAAATCAATAAGGCTGGAATCGTCATTAGACGTGGAGGAGGGGGGGGGACGATAAACGAATGATGATACATTCAGATTGCGACTCAAGATTTGTGATTTTTCAATGGCAAGACATCTATCGCCCCTCTGACCAGAGTAGGTAGATCTTCACATAGAATATTATCGCGAACGAAAACAAAAATGATGAGAAAACACCATGGCTCCCCCCCCCCCTCCGTCGTTTTATAATTTCTCTACCAAGTGAAACACCTTTCACTCTGGAGGGGCTGCGACCACTGTAACCCCCTTCACCCTGGAGGAGTCATTCTCACCTTATCGCATCTGTGCCTTAAACTTGAGTAATTAAACCATCGATGACATCTCTCCAACATATAGTCTCACATTTGCTCAACGTACGCCCGAAACTCCTTAAAAAGAGTCTGAGCGCCTGCTGAAAGTTTAGCCAGCGCTCGCTGAAAGAGACTATTTGACGAGCGCCAGCAGAAAACTCTGTATTTTGCCCGGCTAGCAGGACATTCGACAGTAAAGGAGGTACCGCCCGCTGAAGGTTTGGCCACGCCCCAAAATTCTGCTGACCGCCTGCAAGAAAACGCGAGTTTGCGGCCCCTGCGATTATCTGAGTGCTTGTACAATATCGATCTGAGCCCTCTTGCCAATCTGAGTTATTAGTATTGTTTGCATCGCCCTGTTGTTCTTCATTCTACCACTTTATACGTGTCCTTATTTTTCTGGCTCTCCCAATGTGCCTATCCATTGAGATTATGATGTCGAGAAAAGTAGTCTATATTAAGATATGCAGCTCTCCCTGTAGATGACCTCGCAGTCATTCACATTTCAAGGATGACGCTGACGAATAGTCCAAGAGTCTGTATGTGTTCGTCCTTTGTCACTCGTATAGTTATAAAGAGGTCATTCTTTCAATGTGATTTGTGTATGCTAGCGTTAGATCATAGACCGAGGCGATAGGATGCGCTCACCTTTTTCACTGCATGTTCGTCCCGTGATTGACCTCCCTGACATTTTCAGCTCCTTTCGCCCTTCTCCCACATGTCCGTCAGAGTCCGCTTTTAGCATAAGTATATTTTGTAGGAGAAATGAGCTGATGTTGTCGAGTTACTACCAGAACGCGTGCTTTTCGTTATTTTTACATCCAACCTGAGCCCATAGGAGATAATTACCCGTACATCATATTTCATACTTGATTTCGCTTGCTATTCTCCACAACAAGTCAAGCAAGCTTCCTTCAACATTGCGATTGCGGCAGATTGCAGATTAGTGATATGTCAAACTTATGATTCTGCTATTGTGGGAGAATAAATATTGTTTTAGAAATGTGCCATAGCGCTATTACACATCTCTTTCAGAACCATGAGATTTATCAATGTAGTCTACAAGATTATAGACACTAGAGCCAAATTTTCCCCTGACCAATGAATAAAGAGCTGATGATCTTGAGGAGCTGATAATGTTTCCGTAAAGACTTTTTTGTCACACGTGACGAAACAATCACACTTTCCACTTACGTGCAAAAAATGAGGCGAATTACAATTATCATACGCGTTGCAGATGCAAGTAGCATTTATCATGCCGTTATAACCTTTCGTAGATATACGGCAGCCGGGATCTTCCTAAAATCCAACCACTCTGTTTCCTATATATTGAGTATATATTGAGTTGCTCCGAAAGTTTTCGTTTTTCACTTGGTCACTTAATCACGTGGAGCAACGACCAACGACAGACTTAGGCCTCGGGCAGATTTGATCGTTCACGCGACTTATCGTCGCTATTCAATCGCTACAAGACAAGTGTTACGAGTTCATTGCATGCCGATCTTCTTGTATTTCGTTGTGTTAGTCACGATCAGTTGCGTTGGAAAACAATCACAGCCGAAATGCAAGAAGGTCGGCATGCAATGATATTATTTCACTTGCCTTGTCGCGATCAATCGCAACGATCAAATCGCATAAACTCTGCCCGAGGCCTTAGGGCCGGGCATACTTCAAGCGATTTCAGTCCGACGCGACTTGGCAATTCGCCAAAAGTCTTCACATTCAACAGTAGCAAACTGCACATGCATAGTTTGTATAACTTACGTGGGTTGACAAAATGCCCTATCTTCTGTGCGTTTAAAATGTTCTTACAGTGAGTTATAAACAGTTGGAATATTGCCAAAACGCGTCGCGACTGAAATCGCGTAAAGTATGCGCGGCCCTTTAGGAGGACTTGATATATTTGAGCTTTTTCCACTCGTTCGACGAGAGCGTTGCTACTGTGAAGTGATTAAACGGTGTTGTTGATTGTTGTTCGTATGGATGACAAGATTCGCAAGCTAATCATTTCCTGAAATTCTTCTTTGTAGCATTTATATTGATTGATACAAGTGTGAAATCTTTAACCCATTCACTTAATATAACAGTTAGGCATGTATTAAAGTGCTTCTTAGAATATGTTAATCACTCTTCACAAAGGAACCATACTTTGAGTGCGACTAATCCCAAACGAGGGCGGCTGCCATGTAATGTAAGCGAGGCGTTTCCAAGGATGCAAGCTCTAATAATAGATGCAAATAAATCGATTTTCAGAGACTACTTCGTACATGCGCGTAAGCGTACCAATGGTAATACCCAGAATTTGAATGCGATCAATTTTACACCGGATAAACGTCTAATTGTATGATCAATTGATCGCCATATAATCAATTTATCTCGAAAGAGACAAGTCTGAGTCGCAAGAAACCACACTTTCATGTTCTTATTGCGGTCATGCGTTCAAAATGGTGGTAAAAATCAAGAACCGCGGAGTATTGGATCAATAGAATCTGGAATCAAAAGCATACAGCTCGTGATTTTACTTGTCCAAATCTGTTTTTTCAAAGGGTGAGCCTTTCAAAAATTTCAATCAAATAGAAGGAAAGTTCAAGAAATTTTAACTGAGTGTGATAAATTTGAAAGAAAAAGGAAAATCATCAATGCTGAAATGTTTCTTAATCGTCACTCCACGAGATTTTGCAATCATGCAAGAAAGCAAGATAACTTCTAGGTCATTTTGATCAAATCTCTATGTGTAAAAGATACATCGTCTTCCAAACCATACAGTTCCACCAAAAATACTCGACGAGAGTCCAAATCGAAATGAACCCGTGCGTAGCAGGTGCTAGCAGGCATAGTCTGAATTGGAAAGGAAATGCTCGCATGATTTCAAGCGGGAACGTTATACCACAAATTTTTCCAGGTTGTACATGTGACTTATGTTGGAACCACGTTCGGAAATACATGATTGGATTTTGGCGGAGGCTCCGCTATAAGGAACATGGTCTGCTTTTTGCAGTAGCAATGACAGTGGTTTACCATAGAAGCGTATAAGCTACAAGCAACAGAAACATTATGAAGTAAAATGAACTCTACCAATAATATGATACGCAGCATGATTTCTTCAACTCAAAGGTAGATAACGATTGAATAGGTCAAAGTGACAACAAGGTAGTAGTCTGCTGGCTAACGATAAGCTGACTTACTAACTCAAACAATGAAAGGCTTTCAGCGGCAGCCGTAAGGTCGCCATCAACCTCCACCAAAAGTTTCCGAACCTTATCGCTGTCACTGTCAATACCTGCTAAATGTCATATGATTTCGATATCACTGTTAATTATAGCAACTCAACCGTCTGAGAAGTGATGGTACCAGTCGAATGGGGAGAGTGTGATGAGATGTATTTCCGTTGTATCTGCACAATTAGAGACTCTCGATTGCGTGTCTTTTATTAGGTCGTCCCAAAAGCATTTTCGCTTTTTTAAACAACTGCCACGGTCCGCAGAACAAGCATCCTTAAAAGATCTTAAAAGCATTTGATGCAGTTTTTTATGCTCTTTCAAACGGTCAACTTTATATTGCAGTTTAACAAACGAGCTCTCAGAAAATTACCAAAAACAGCGACCCACGCTTTTTACCAAGGTCAAGTTTCGCTAATTTTCTAAATTCTTGTACTGATCCTCCGAAGAAGCCCCAGTAACCTGCGAATAGATCAAAGAAGTAGGATACAAAACGATTTCTTTCTCCTTCCCAGAGCTCTCCATAATTTTTTGACAAAATTTTAAACAACACCAGCGTATTTTAGCAGACCCATACCAAAAGCAGACTCGTCAAGCTCTGAGAAATTCTCAGTTTTTGATAATCTTAAAGATAGATTAAGATTTATTACTAGTTTTACAAAACAAGTGAGCGTTTCCAGGTTCGAAATATCAGATATTGAATTTTTCGGGTGCATCTTGGGGCGCCATCAAAAACATGGATTTTGTCAATTTTGTCCTCTAAAAGTTTGCGAATCAAAAACGAAAAACGTTTTGAAAGAGGAGAAGGTGCTGCATCGAATAACACCCGAGTTGCTTCCCGAGTGATGCTCTATGAGGTTTAAGTTGACGAAATATAAAATTTGATGGCATCAAAAAAATATTTCTAATAAACTTGCAAAATAAGATTTGGAAGAGGCGTAAATTATTTTGTATCCTACTTTGTTTGCTCTATTCATTCACTTGAACTCCTTCAGGAAGTTATCACAGGAATTTAGGAAAATAGGAAATTGATCTTGGTAAAAGCGTGGGTCGCAGTTTTTGGTAATTTTCTGAGAGCTCGTTTGATAAACTGCAATGTAATGATGTCCATTTGAAGGAGCATAAAAAACTGCATCGAATGATTCCAAGGTCTTCTAAGGATGTTTGTTCTGCGGATTGTTGGATTGATTGGCGATTGTTTGAAAAAAGCGAAAATACTTTCGGGACGACCTAATATATACAGCGTATGCGACAATGAGTCGTGAGAAGCATACAAATCATGCCAAAAATCATATCAGAAACCATTGTTTCTTTTACACAGCTTTCCATTGATAGCAGACATTGGATCAAAACCAGCTGCTTATTCGAAATTCGAGATTGCGCAATAGCATTCGCTTTGTAGAGAGATGAAAGTAGTTTCAAATTTCCTTAGTCTTTCTGGCTTTCGTACTACAGTATCAAAAAAATAGAGCATTTCTGTAAATTTCTCATTTCTTTCTATAAAGCTAAATGTCTGCTTGTGTGTGTGTGTGTGTGTGTGTGTGTGTGTGTGTGTGTGTGTGTGTGTGTGTGTGTGTGTGTGTGTGTGTGTGTGTGTGTGTGTGTGTGTGTGTGTGTGTGTGTGTGTGTGTGTGTGTGTGTGTGTGTGTGTGTGTGTGTGTGTGTGTGTGTGTGTGTGTGTGTGTGTGTGTGTGTGTGTGTGTGTGTGTGTGTGTGTGTGTGTGTGTGTGTGTGTGTGTGTGTGTGTGTGTGTGATAATCAGTCGGTGTATTATAGGGTTACTGAATACGATACCGCTCTCAGAACGTGTAAAATTTCCGTGAATGTCGCGGAAACCCCGGAATTCCGCGAAGGATCGCGAAATTTTCGGAATATCGCGACATTTCCGGAATTTCGCGGAATTTTCGGAATATCGCCATAACTTCCTTCGGAATGCATAAATTCTGGATCTGAAACAAGGGTTATACTCAGCTCATTAAGGCGAATCTTTTGGTACCTTGTCTTACCGTAATTCTCGGGGCACGATTGGTGCACGATCTGGGTGAATTTTGCATTTTGGGAGAGAGGACGTGGGTGTACGGCAGCAAGTGAATCCTTTTGCGATTTTTCTGAAATTCTAGGGAGGGGGGGGGGGAGTAATCAGTGGTAGTGGGTTAGTTCTAAAATATGCGAACATGCCGTGATGATGCCGTCGATGTTGCTTTCCCCCCCCCCCCTTCTGTTTGTTTAGTAGCTTCAAGCACCTATTTATTACTAGAAGGGGTGGGTTCGAGTATAGAACACGAATATTGTGTTCACCTACCCTCTTCCAAAATGAAAAATTCATCTCAGACCGTGCACCAACCGGCCCCGAGAATTACGGTAAGGCAAGGTACCAAAAGATTCGCCTTAATGAGCTGAGTATAACCCTTGTTTCAGATCCAGAATTTATGCATTCCGAAGGATATTCCGAAAATTCCGCGAAATTCCCGGAATGTCGCGAAAATCCGGAAATGTCGCGGAATTCCGGAAATGTCGCGAAATTTTCGGAATATCGCGACATTCGGGAATTTCGCGGAGTTTTCGGAATATCGCCATAACTTCCTTCGGAATGCATAAATTCTGGATCTGAAACAAGGGTTATACTCAGCTCATTAAAGGCAGTGTCCCGGCAGATTCGGGTCCTGGGGGATATACGTGTGGTGGGGTTCCTGGTCACCCCATCGACCTCCAGGCGCACTCCGGCTGGGTGATGTTCCCCCTGGGCCGAGAAAATGGCCCTTAGACCGGCGCGCGCAACCCCAACTGGCGCGCGCTTGGACGGCCTTCCCCGCCTGTTCGGCGCGGGACCCCACCAGCGCTCTTCCCAATGATGCATGCTATCCAAAGCAAGAATTACAGGCGGCAGGATCTTCGTCTGAGGACCTCCCCCAACTTTCCATTAAAAATCTCGTCCAAGCTGCTTTTCTGGAATTAGGAAAACGCCCCAAAGTCGGCCTTTTCAGCCCGTTCAAAGCTCCAATTCGGATTCTGCGTGGCGAAAAGGCCTTAAACATGCAAAAAGGTGGAGGTGCAAAATCTGCCGGGACACTGCCTTTAAGGCGAATCTTTTGGTACCTTGCCTTACCGTAATTCTCGGGGCCGATTGGTGCACGGTTTGAGATGAATTTTACATTTTGGGAGAAGGGAGGTGAACACAATATTCGTGTCCTATACTCGAACCCACCCCTTCTAGTAATAAATAGGTGCTTGAAGCTACTAAACAAACAGAAGAGGGGAAAAGCAACATCGACGGCATCATCACGGCATGTTCGCATATTTTAGAACTAACCACACCCAATACCACTGATTACTCCCCCCCCCCTCCCTAGAATTTCAGAAAAATCGCAAAAGGATTCACTTGCTGCCGTACACCCACGTCCTCTCTCCCAAAATGCAAAATTCATCTCAGATCGTGCACCATTCGTGCCCCGAGAATTACGGTAAGGCAAGGTACCAAAAGATTCGCCTTAATGAGCTGAGTATAACCCTTGTTTCAGATCCAGAATTTATGCCTTCCGAAGTAAGTTATGGCGATATTTCGAAAATTCCGCGAAATTCCCGGAATGTCGCGAAATTCCGGAAATGTCGCGATATTCCGAAAATTTCGCGATCCTTCGCGGAATTCCGGGGTTTCCGCGACATTCACGGAAATTTTGCACGTTCTGAGAGCGGTGTTGTATTTTGAACCACTACCCAATATTGATCTTGTGGAGATCATAGGCGGCGACCTACGAAAGGGCCGCCAAGCGACCGTTTGGGCGCGCATTTTAAGGATATAAAGCGGCGCTGAGGGATCGGACGACTCCTCCATTCCGTGAATAGTTTTTTGTTTTTTACCTCATATTCCAGTTTTCTCTTGATTTTATATCTCGTTGTTGATATTTTTGTTCGTTCCAATAAATCGTTTTGTGACTTTGTGTAATTTTTCCATGCAGTAGGTTAGCGAGCCGTTTATCTATCGTTCCGAGGCCGAAAGGGTTACAATCTACTTATAAGGAATTCTTGTAAAGAATATCGCCTGAGTATTAAATGTGAACAGTTTCCAGCAGTGTATTGTGGAAGATAAAAATGATTTTTAGGATATGTTTCCAAAACTCTTTTAGTGTTGTACAGATCTTAGTCTAGTAGCTTTTGATTTTCGTATCTATATGATTATTGAGGTGTTAATTCTAACCAATTCTTTACAGAAAATGTCTGAGAGGATTGAGCACTCTCAAGAGTCCATCAATCGAAAGGCGTTTGAGTACGACTGCTTGGATTGCGTTTTCCACAAAAGGAAGTACAACAAAATGTTGGCGTTTTTTGCAGAATATACTGAAGTGAATTACTTTGGGAGTTGCTTTATCAAAGTTGCAACATTACTTTTCAAGATATCCAAAAAGATTGTCCTTTGGCATTCTCGTGGCCAGCGTAGCTGGAATACACCTAGGCATACCGGCTATACGCGTAAGTATCAAAGTTGAGAGTTTGTATCGAGCTACTAATCAATCATATTATGGCGAAAATTTTATATGATTTTCGAAGGCATTTCATTTCTGGAGGTTAGAAACCACTTGGCAGAGCACAACCTCCCACTATAAAAGTATCAGGATCGTCAAAGAGAAAGAGGAGACGGTAAAAGTAGCAGATCAGGAGCGTCTAGGGTAAGATTTACAGATAATATGGAGTGGTAAAAGATAAATTTCTAGATCATACATCCGAAAATCATCAGGGATCTACACGTAGCAGCACGCCGGAAATGTCCTGAAATGGTATTTAAAGGCAGTGTCCGGGTTAGGTTGGGGGTTGTGGCATATCACTGCCGCGCAGAAGTAGCCGCCTTGGTAAGCCCCACAGCCCAATCGCGGACGCATTTCGTCGAACCGGAAGCGAGAAAATCGCTCCGGAAGTGGGGAGAGTGGCGCCACGATCGGAGGACCCCGCCCACCGAGGGATTTCCCCTCCAACCATGCAGCGGTTGCGAAAAGGAGTGTGCGGCGCTGACCGTAAGTTGACCGTTCGTTGGGAAAAACCACTCTACGCTGTTTTGCGAGCAGTTCTCAGTTTCTTTCGTCTTTTTCTATCTCATCCGCCTCCCATATTGCTTCGCTATTGTTCTTTTCATGCCTAAACAGTTGAACATTTATTTTATCCTTAATGTGCGAGCTAACTGACTGCGGATTTGCTGATTTTTGCTTTGATATTGAAGATATGTTTTAGGCAACCCGAGCTACTTATCTGATGACTTGTTGGAGCTTCTACTACATGATCGTACTTCGGAAATGAGTGGCTGTGAGTTTTGTCCTTGTTTTCTGGACGATTCAATCTAATTTTATCGCATCAAAGCTTTTATCTTTCATGAATTTCGTTACTTAACTGCTTATTCAGTTTATCTGACACTATTCATAATGTCGTGTGGATGAGGCATCAATCACTTTGACGTGGATGAAATTTGACTATGGCCGCCCGTCGCTTCTCCGGCGAGATGGTCTGAACGCTCTTTTCCATCTGGATCTTCGGTTTTTCGATTACTTTTTGTGTCAGTGCCTCTCGCACCAATCTCAGTCAAATTTCATACACTCAAAGTGATTGCTGATCTCGTCTAGATGACATTATGAATAATGTCAGATAAACTGATTTCTTCTTATTGCCGTCATGCCAAGTTGCCTACTGTCCCAAGCGTGTATCATATATCATAACCGTTACCACAAGCGTAGATCTAGGAGGACTCATTATGCGAGTTGTTTTGAACTAGGAGGACTTATTATGCGAGTTGTTTCAATAAGTACACAATGTTACAACAATTTCACTTCTCGACGCATACATACAAGTTGCATCGACTTGCACGCCGTTCCAAGAAGTTAGATGTTGACGGTTCAGGATCGCTCTCTGTCGAGGTAACTATGATATCCATCCCTTTTTGTTGCTGAAGTATGCGTCGACTGAAGTGAAATTGTTGTAACATTGTGTACTTATTAAAACAACTCGCATAATGAGTCCTCCCAGTTATCCTTCAACGATCCTTTATTGCAGGAAACTATGTCATGGCCAGACATTTAGTTGCATCTCGTGTCTACGACATAGATGGGGATGGCTACATATCGAACCGGGAATTATTCCAGGTAAGATGAGCTTTTTGAGGGGTTTTGGAAAGAGGGCTTGATGGATCTTATTTAGGTGTTGAAAATGATGTTCGGGAATAATCTGAAAGATTTACAACTACAGCAAATTGTCGATAAGACGATATTCTTTCATGACAATCAAGGTGACGCAAGAATATTATTCCAGGAATTTCCAAAACGGAGGTGGGTCACTGGCAACAATCTTCTGAATCGATTTTGAAATGCTCTCAGGTCAAACGACCACATGTCGTTGTTGGAAACGTTTCTGAAACGTCCTTCCATGGAAATGACATCTTCTTTGTGCTTTATTTGTTGCTACCACTCTGTGCCATAGTTTTCGATGCATTGTCATTTCGATGCATGGTGTATTGAAGAAAAGCACCTGTTACTGTTCGAAGCGAAAAAGCCCCTTTTCTCGCCATAGAATTAGACTTCGCAATACGAATGCATTTGCAGTTTATCACTATATAATGTTTCATGGATAGTTTTCATAGTTTGCTTCTGTATTCTTGCCCCATGCTTCGTTGTCTCCACGAAGTTGCAGTGGCTGCGTACGTGTTGCGGTTGCGTTCCGTTCAGCACTGCGGGCCTATATACGTTCCCTAGGATATATTAGGTGGGTCCAAAAGTTCGTCTGCCGGATTTTCAAAAAATCATAACTTCCTTCCTTCTCGGTGGAAATTCTTGAATTAATCTTCATTCGAAAGAGGAAACCTTTCTCTTTACAGGAGTATCTTTGACATGAGATAACGTGAGAAAGTTCGAGAGTTAGAAGCAATTGAATAAAATTAGTCAAGATGGACATTTTTCAAGCTGGATCACGAAAAATTTTGGAAGTATTTTTATCTGATAGAGAAAATTTTGTACATTACAGTGGTACCTTTTTCATGAATTAAAACGAACTAGATCGAGAGTCAGAAGCAAATTAAGAGAATTTCTTCACTTTTGCAATTTTTGAGCATGCTCAAAAAAGCTTGAAAACGTCACAGAAAAGGTGAAAAAGTCATAAACATGGGTTTTGTGACCTTCCCTTTCTAGCTGAGCCAAAATCGTGCCATTCGGAAGGAAGTTATGATTTGTTGAAAATCCGGCGAACGAACTTTTGGACCCACCTAATATATTGTTTCATATCGTAGAATTTTTTACATGATAAATTTTGCGAAATCTCTATTGTTTGCTAGTTTTGCACGTTGTTCTTATTCACTATATGATGTGCAATTGCACAATTTGCATCAAGGAGTGCGATTGCACACTTTGCCTGTACTTTTTTTGTGAATGTATCAAATATATTTGTATTCGTACTTTCACTCACTCAAATCGCAAACTCGTGGATTTTAGCGTCATAATTTTGAAAGAGTCAAAAAAAATTTGCCCATGTACTTGCTCATTAGAATTGTTTGATTTATGCATACGAATTGTTGACGTTTATTGACTCCTCACTTGTTTACATATCTGATCAAATCAACCAATAAAAATGGGTAGATGAGTGCGATGAATTGCCTACACAGTCAATAGATTATCCTACATTACAGTGTGCTTGCGGTGCCACGAAAATGCGGTATGCGCGTGAACCGAGAGCAACGCCAGTAATACCGACATTTTGCGCGCGCAAGAGGTCGTCTTCACGGCGCAGCTATATATCCACGCCAGATTTTGCCGCATTTTCTCGGCACCGCATGCACACTATATCAACCTACTCGACTGCACACGATCTGAAGGAGAAGCGAACGCATGCAATCTTTACTGAGTACGAAGATGCACAGATTCGTTTTTCTCAACAAACATCGATTGATGCAATAGAATACATTTGCGCACCAATATAAGAACTTTAGTCATACCAGCAAATGACTGCAAGTGTAACATCATGACGGCGACAGCAGCGAGGACAACGGGCAAGAAATATGGAGATCATCGACAAAGCCATCAGCAACTAGATAGATCGTTTTCCAAATCGAACCATCATATCACCTGCTGACGGGACCTCTTGTGCCAGTAACGTAGTCACTCGAGCTTCGAAGACGGTAATCACCACCAGTCACTGGGAGGGTCAAGGATTCATCTGCAAATTATGACTTTTCATCGAATATTTCAATGAAACGTTGCTTCTATAGCCGATTCAGAGCGCGCACCCAAAATTTGTGGGACGAAAAATTGAAGAATTCCAAAAATATTCGAAATTATAAACCAGCAACAACAGCCTTTTGATCTGAACGAAGATTATCGCAGACGCAACTTTTGGAATGTGCAAACTGAGGTGAAATGCAGAATTTGTTGAAAACACCGTGATAGTAACAATGTGTGCCCAGCATTATTCCCGTAGGTAACATCGCAAACACAGTAATCGCATGAAAAACAGAAGTGCTGAGCTACTAATCATAGAGAGCAAACACATGTAAGATTGCGAAAAACTCACTTTCCTTGTTGTTTCCTCTGTTTTTCGTCAGTAGCGTCCAGCTTGGAACAGTTATAATCTGAAACAAGCACAATGCATGTGGAGGAGTAAAGCCAAACGGTTACAAAGTCAAACGGCACGAGAAGGAGCAAGAAATACAAAAAAAACGAAAAGAAGAAAGAAAAGAAAGAAATTAGCGCCCAACGGCGCTCCAGTGCACAAACGCTGACTCTGCTTCTCTGACTCTGCACGGGCCAGCCAATACTCGTCCGCGTTCAACTTGGAGGCTTCCGAAAAAGCGCTTTTTCGTCATTTTCGCGCTCTCTCATATGGATTTTCGGATTCAGGATAGCGGATAGGCCCAGGTAAGCAAAAAATCTCAAATTCGAGTTTTTGCCCTGACACTGCCTTTAAAAACATACTTCAGATTGGACGTGATTATGTGAGTGAGTAAGAAAGCAATGTACTGTAACTATTACCTACGAATTAAATTTTTTAGTCATTTACGCCAACTATGGCAGCATAAGGTTCAACATCAATTTGGAACAATGGAATGGACTCCTTTGGGAGCATTCTACAGCACCGCTGAGAAGGCGTCCAGAGAGGTTCTTTGTGTATGTGTGTTGGTAACATAGGACCTTTGCAGAAAGTAGAGGTCGAAATGGAGGACTGTTCAGGCTAACAAGCTTCAAGACTGCTGCATGAAGAAGATAGCAAGAGGGTAGAAAACTTTTACAGCACGGATTTAAGTAGTATGGCTATTTCATCAACTATTTAGCTTGCTATTGGCTATGTTGAATTGTAAAAAGTGATAATTTTATGACTTATGTATTTTTTGACAGGTCCCGGTAGAGAAAAAGACCACGACGTGAGGTTATTTCAGAAGACCAGCCAGGATCTTCGCGACTACAGACTTTGCAGACATCATTAGATGCTTTCAGAAGCATATGCACTATCAAACACAGCACATAATACAAAGAAAAATCAAATCAAAATCCGACAAAACTTATCACACAATTTAATACTGTATGGTGTCAGAATTCCCACGCATCTTTTTCAGTCGAAGTAATTAGCTTGGAACACCACAGCAAAAATAGCGGTGTTTAAAAATGGATAGGATAGATTGCTTCGAAATACTGTCCAGCATACTTGAGAGTGTGCATTGCAGCGTTTTCACAAGAATCTTATTACTCCAATCCGGATACAATGCAGCCTCAGGACTCAGCACACAGCAATTGAGCACAACTCTCTTACACTTTCTTTTGTTTCTTGGTTTCAGAAATTTCATACAGAACAACACTTTCGCTTTTCACCATTTTAAGAAACCAAACCTGCTGTCTGTATTTTCCGAAAAAGAGGAGAACTTTTTGAATCTGTTTTTCTCCTTCACTTTCCTTCTCCTCTTCTTCAAGATTATGTCGATCCAACTAATCCATTGAAATCTCTGTATCACTTAAAAATGCTCGTACAACAGAGGTATATTTTAACATACATTCTTTCTACATCATTAAACGTCTCCCTTACAAATTGAATATGCGCTCACTTCTTTTTCTTGAATAGTTCTTCGACTACAATACTCAAATGAAGTCGTCTAAATTTTTCGATTTATGTTTAGCTTTATTCTCTACTTTGCTACCTCCTCCGAGAACAGCCGTAGTTGTACGAATGCTTACTTGGATTTGAGTTCTTTGTTGTGTGAATTTATCTACTGCAGAACATCATTTAAAAGACTTAACTTGCATCCTTGTTGCTTATTTATTGCTCAAATGCTGAGGTTGGGAGAAGGGGGAGGGGTAGTTTGGATAGGCCAGAACCCCTGATTTCGCCATATCAGCTAGGTATAGCTATAAAATTGTACCATCGCAAGATTGTGATTATCAAGCTACTGTTACCTACCTAAACTCATTTGCTAAATTGAAATCATTATTCGTACATGTGTTTGTCCTAATTCTGTACTACATAATGTCTCAACGTATCAATTACCGTCTGGTACACTTCGTCTTAGTGATATATAGAATAAATGAATAAATGAGTAAACGAGTTTTTTTTTTGAAAATATGGTAATGGAACCAGCAGGCGGCCCACAACGAGAAGATCTTCGTTTGTGCAATTCGGGTGTTCTGTGAGCGTGGATTTGATCTGATCTTAGCGATGGCGAAGAGCAGCCTGGGCTGATTTTAATTTAGCCCACTCACCACCTTTCCTTTTGAAACTGACTTTCGAATCGAAGTGTGATTTGGGCATTCTCTCACGTGTCGTGTTTCTCAACATGACTAACTCTGCGGTCACAGAGCTCATTGAACAGTCTAAGGAGGTTTGCGCTCAATTTTTGTCGTTTACGCGACATATGGTATATATCCTGTCAATTCGAACCTCAGACTGAGAATGATTTTGTGTACGTAGAGAATTACGTATGCAACTATGGACATCGCGGATAGTATATGCGGCAAAAAACAAGAATCTCAAAAACGAAAACTTGAAAATCAAACCCTTTTGACGGTCATGAACAAAGAAGCCAGGTTTGTTATAGTGGTGCATTAGGTAAATAATCATTCCATAATCTTTTGTGCCCGATTTTGCGTTACCACCAACGATCAAGATCATGACAGTGGATACGCAAGATGAACAGGGAATAAATGGCAGTTTACTGGTCTGCATTGTACGTAAAGGCAGGCAATCTCGATGTCCAAAAAGCTAGTGAGTAAGACTCCTCTAAATATGTGTGACAGCAATTAGCCTCGTCATTAGGAGTGTGTAGTCCCTTTATCGCTACGAAATGCCGCGATCTTCATTGCTGCACGTAGTATTCTTCGCCCAAGAAAGTGGAGTGCTGGTCTTAACGCCTTAACTCCCTTTCCTCCTCTCCTCAAAGGACTGTTGTAACAACTTCCTGGCAACAAGACTAATCCTCAATTTGCCTGAAAATTTTATCGAGCCCTTTTGCTTTCTGAAAGTGCTACGAAAGCTATGGATACTAGGGGAGGTGAAGTTACTAGACCATATCAGGCTGTAGTGAAGACCTTGCATTTATATCAGCAAAACTTGGACATTATTACTAGCATAAAATTCGTGAGTGTTATGTACTTTACAACCAGCCTTTATTTGTTAGCGTAACACACTTAGGCTTACGTTATCCAGCTTCTGAACTGAACACATCTTCTACATCAAGTTTATTATCTAACAATATCTTGAAGCGGTACTCATTGAGCAATAAGTTATCTCTTTACAAGAAACTGTACATATATGCAAAATGACGCAAATTGTGAACGACATGTAGTATGCCGAATCGATTGAAAAGATCAAATTTTTACATGTTTCGATTGTTTGACGATAAGATGATAAGAAAAGCAAGAAAGATAAGGAGAAAAGTCACGACGATAGAACGAGCGAGACAACGACTAGGCAATGCACGACCGGGTTTTTCGCATGGCGCCTACGCAACATATCACATTTTCTGATAATGAACATCATGTTACGAATAGGACGGCTAGTTTAAAGCATATAAAATAGCCGTATGGCGAGTAGCGCACAAAGAAGCACTGATGGGAATAGTATTTGGGCAGATGCGGTGGGTTCAACTTCGTTGTCGGTGACGGACGTTGGTGACTGAGTGATTGAGTTATCACTGGGTGAGGGTGGAGGTGGTGTAGGCTGCAAATAGGAATATATATAAAATGTTTGGATTCTCATGAAGTGGGCGGGACTTGGAGTTTACAACTGCAACTTTGGCAACTCCTATCACTGAAGCTCCTTACCTTAACACATGCTCCAAGAATATTATCTCTCAGATTTATGCATAGCTGATCTTCCCGTTCCGTACATGTGCATGTTTCAAAAGCCTGAAATAGACAAAAAGAATAAATTTTCCAAAAAAATGAAAACACAAAGAAACCAACCTGGCCATGAGGCGTCGCCATGGTGGCTGTCAACAATCCACGACATCTCTCCGAACATTCACCCCGTGATGTTTCAGCTTCACATTCGGACACAAAAACTCCCCATTGTGAATTGCACTAAAACACATCGATCGTAAAACACAATTGTGCAAACACTTTAGAACGTTTAGTGATCAATCAACACTGCGCTGTTGTTCAATTTGAGTTGCGAACATGTTTCCCTTTAAGCGTAAAATTCGTTCATATCACAAATTGTTTGGTGCACTTTTTGAATTAACAAATGTGCAAATGTGACAGTCTGCGAGACCAAAGATCTGTAACAAATTCTCACATGTTGAGATCGAAGTCTACATCCATATTTCATTCTAGTGCGATATACCAGAACTAACTTTTTGAAAAAAAAATCAAGAACGACCTTAATGGCCATTAGTAAACCTAGTTGAAACCAAAGTCAGATTCGTGTTACCTACCCACATTAATATCTTATCTATGTCTTATTTACCACCTGTCAATCTCGTATCAGTGGCGGACTGAAATATTTTTGCTGAGTGCAATGGAATTTCTAAAATGGTGGGAAGGGGGGGGGGGGCACATGCCCTTTAAAAGTTCTGTATATCTTCTCAGCATTTTGCAAATCTACAATCACTGAATCAATTTTGAAGTCCAAAGGGGAGGGGGAGTTAAAGATTGTGTATCCTCATTTTTTAAGTGCGCTATCGTTAGTGTTTTCAAATTTGGAAAATGAGTGCTACATGTTCCTTGAGATCAAAATTGCCTTTGAGCAGTGGCGTACCCAGGATCGGCTCGGGGGGAGGGGGCGCGACAAAAAATTTTTTCTAAAGGAGGTGCGTGGCGTTAACCACGCACTCCGAAAAATTTTTGGGGGTGCTTCTCAAAATTTTTGCGGGTCTCCGACCCCTAAAATCCGGAAAAAGGGGGCGTGGCGTCAGCCACGCCCCCGAAAAAATTTTTTTTACAAAGCTAGTTTGAATTTTCAAAATTTTTTAAAAATTATTTTAATTATTTTCAAAAATAAACAAGTCACTTGCACATTTTTGTAACCCATATAAGAAGCTTTCAAAAATTTCGCGACCCATTCTCGGCCCCGCCCCCCCCCCCTCGGTATGCCACTGCGTTTGAGGGATACAAAATTTGCTACTCAGCGAGAACTGATCCCTCACCCTACAAATGCAACCTTGTTCTTATCTAATTCAGAGATTAGGAAAAAATGTGTAAGAATCCTCAAAGCTATAAAGGAGCTTCTTCAAGTAATTTTCGTCAGAGAAGCATGAAAAGATGTTGATCTTATTGCTGGAAGGTTTAGAAACAAAAAAGAAATCGTTGTTTGCTTTCAAAGCATCAGTATTATGGGTTTTTATTGCAACACGAATATGATGATATAGGTCGGATTTTTAGACTAGATATTTGATTTTCATTCCCTCCCCCCCCCCCCCCCCCCCACGGCCCAAAGCAGGAAAGCGAAACTTTCAAAGCTAAAAGTTCATAGACTGCAATTACTGGTCTGTTTGCACTGAAATCGCATATCGTTGAGAAAGCGATATAAGATTCTGTTTTTCCATCACTTAGTTGCGCAGACTGAAATGTGAGCACAAAACGAAAGGCTAACTCATAGCATTTGCATTTCAATGGATTATATTACGAAGTTTTTCTTTTATTTACTGTAATCATGCCCTTAATTAAGGTGACTCGGATAGGGTGTTGACCTAATATCTCCGCGTGTTCAATAAAGGAGTCACAAGCTCATTTGGTTTGAGCTATTTGATAAAAAGGGTGGATCTGAAAAAAAAAATCGTTCGAAATTTACAGAGCTCATGACTGGGGGGGGGGTTGTTCTGTTATCATTTTTTTCGATTTTGTAAAGATATGAGACTGATTATTTTGAGCAGCTGGACATAGAAAAAAGAACTCAAGGTTCAAATTGAAAGTGAGGGGTGGGGGGAGGGGGGGGGAGGGGGGGAGAGGAGGTTGGGAGAGGAGGGAGGGGAAAGGGATTCTTACAAGACATCACTTTATTGAGACTGAGAACTTCACAGGCTGAATAGTTTTGAGGTGCTCAGTAAAACCAAATTGATTTAAAGAACTGATTTTTCTCAGAGCGATGAGAGGGAGTTACTGTACGTACCGTACCGTCATCGTTTCGGGATCTCCAAGGGGTTTACGAACCGAATAAATTTGAAAATTAAAAAAGTGACTGAAACCTGAATTTGAGGGGAAATCAGTTGGCATCCTTCTTTCATAGTTTTCAATATCCTCCTGGTCTGAAGACCCACGAAGCCGGACTTTTGCTCCCGCAACGCCCAAAATACTTCACTAATCTCATGTACACTCCGATTCATTCAAATCGAAGCCCAAAGGGTCCCGCAAGAGATTTGTTTGACCAGCCATCATCTCTCCCCGTACACCACCTAATGTGAAACACAATCGCACCAACCCCATGATTCGGCCCGCTCCAAAGGTTCCCGTTTCTTAACCTTCAAAAAATCAACAAGAATTTCTTGAAGTAGCCTCTCCCCTCCCCCGCCAAACAAAATACCCTAGAATAACCACAACAGAACAGGTGTTCCCATAGATTTTTGACGCTGTGTGCAAGAGGATTTGAATGCGGTTTCCGACGCGAATTTGCACAACAGCAGATAGAGTGGACAGCAGCACTGTGCTGCAGTGAACGATGAATTGTTTACACAGCGGATAGCGGCGCAATTATTTTCGGAACCATACGGGGGAAGGGGGGGGGGTATGGAACCCTATGACTGCGTGATTACTGTAGTTTTTACAACCAATTACAGTTTGGAGGTCTTACAAATAGGCCAAGCTAGGTCATAGCGGGTGATTATAAACAAATTTATACAATATAGGCATGTAAACAAACACTTGACCAACTTGCGTGACACAGCAATTACTGCATCAATCGATAATTGATTGATTACCTGTAAATCAGCTTCACATGCCAATTTAGCCAAACTGCAATGCACAATCGGAGCCATTGGAAGGAAATGGCAAGTTTTCAGCTCTTCCCGCCCTGGGATACATGATGCGTCAGTTCTGAAAAAAGAAGAAGAATTTGTGCAAATGCACAAATTTGTTCAAAAATGGTCAAACCTACTTCAACAGTGTTCGTCCATGTTTGTCTTGATATACGTTCAAGACAGCATTACGACATTGTGGTTGACAGGTGCCAGTTGTGCTGCAAATAGCAAATATTTCAATGTTACTAAAAAATTCGCATACAAATATAATACAAAGAAAAATGAATATATAGTTGGGATGGTATAATTGCATTCGATAATGGGAATTTCAGTTGTTACAAATATCTCTATTGATCTACATTGAAACTCAAGTGCATAGATAAACGAACAGAAAATTTTGAATTGTTTTTTTTTCGGGATAAAAAGGGCTAATAAAAACAACACAAAATCCAAATATCCATGATTGTCGTGAATAGTTCTTATGTGGACATAAAACTCTTGCCCCTCACTTGGAAGAGTTTAGGAAAGCATTTGATAGGATAAATCTGCAAATACATTACATTTCGCATGAGTTAGTTTCTAAATTTTCAAATCCGATCTAATCCGATCATTTCTGACTAATAAAGGTGCCAAAAAATGGTTTTATTAGAAAAGTAGCTGATAAACACGGAAGTCCATGTATGGCCAGATTATCCACCATTTATCGCTCAATTATCTTCCAGATTTAGAATAAATTCTCGTGTTGAAAGTGTGTTCGATATCAAAGAGTTCCTCTTATTCTTCAATGTTTCCATTTCATGGGCGCAAGTTGGAGCAGAATAATGAGATCAATTAATTCTCCAAAGAAACAAACAATTAAGTACAACTTTGAGCCGCATCAATAGTAATATCAAATCCTAATTCGTCCAAAATTTTTCCCATGTGTATTTTTAATTTTCGAACTCAGAAATTGTGTGATTGTAAAAGTCGCGCTTCGTGCTTCACCAAAATAGTATCATCAAACCTTCCAAGCAATTCCAGTGTTACGAAAAGCATAGTTATTTCTCGGCAAAATTTTTACCCCGTAGGTAAACCCAGCCAAGGCACAGACCTCCTCACTATCGTGTCTGTCTTCAAATCGTAATCGGCTTGTGTAAAGAACGTTCTCGAGACCATCGTTCGGACACTTACGGATCAGCCAAGTGGCCACTTGGGAAAGGAAGAGGAATTCCATCGCGCACTGCTGGTTGCGTCATATTCAGAGATCTTCAAGAAGCAGAAAAAAATCATTCAGAAAAAAACCAGAATTTTTAGTGGTCGAAACGGGAAAGAAACGTTGCATCATCTAGAATAGGCTAAGAAGTCTAGATTGCTCGGAAAATGTTAGATCTCTCACAGTCAAGAGTTTGAGACAGTTATGAAAAGAATTTTTGAGAAAAATTACAATATACAAGAGTTGTTCAAAAATACATTTCTTTTATAGTGACCTTTTCTGTGAATTTTTGTATTGGTAAAAGAGTTTCGAGAGTTAAAATCAAATAATATTATTTTGTCGAGTTTTTAGGGAAGTTTTCCTGGTGAAGCCTTTTATAAATAAATCGAGTTTATGAGGAAATTATTCAGTGAAGCTTTCGGCAGAAGTTTTGAAATAGAAAGGTTCCCAAAATTACAAAAAATTTTGAAACGTAAATACCGTCGAGTCATTTGTAACTCAATATGCGTAGTGCACATTATACACGCTAATTGACGAACTGCGAAACTAGAATACCTGCTCATTTCCAGTGATTTCATCTTGTTTCCTTGTTCATTTGTTTTCAATTACATTTTAGTCAGGAGAACATATTTCCGATCCTGTCACGCTAGAAAATGTTTTACTGGGAAATTACTAGTATGAGTGCGTCGTGTGTACAGTTATTTTTTTACGTTCTCTGACCGAATGCCTTAAAGTGAAAGGATTTTGAGTTACATTCATTACGTTATTAAGTTTTTTCAAGGGAATGTATTTCATCGCAGTTTCTGCAATGACTAAATAGATAGAATGGGGGCGAACATACCCAGAAATACCAAAATCTTTGAAAATATTTTTGAGCCACCTGAAACGGTAGATAAGATTTTTGCCACATCCTGTGTTACGCTCCCGATGTCTGATCAGGCGCCTTTAAATCCTGGCTTTTCCCGCCAAAAGTTTTGACCATATCCTGTCCAAGACTTCCCCATCCCCGCACCCTCTTTCTGATTTTTGATCACACACCTCCCTTTTCCCGCCGAACTTCCAACAGTATCCAGTTCACAATTTCCTTTTCTTCCCACCCTAATCCACAAGACAAGCCTTTGCAGATTCGCACTTAGCACATCCTAAATGCGTCAAAGCATTGTGTGGTGCGTCCTGATGACGATTATCGTGTGCCGACACAAATCGAATCGCAGCCAATTTATAGCCGGTGATTTGCTTGTAGACAGCCGGTGAGTGGCCACTGCTGCTGCACGCTCTTAGCGGCTTCGTTAGCACACCGTCGCTGAAGAAGAAACCAGATTAACAGGTCTTGAAGATAAACACCTCTCTTTGAGTGTTGTTAGCGACAGATGGGCACAGTCGCGCTTGATGAAGTCTGATAGTCTTACCGCGATGCGATAAACGTTCGCTTGAGCGCGATTTTGGTCAGAATCGCTGACTTGCGCAATAGAGGTGTCGCCCGATGTGACCTTTGTGGTAGTGGTATTGTCGCGGCTAATCGCTACGATTTGACAGCGATTTCGACGGCGATGGTGGGAGATGAGTTGGTTACAAGTCGTCTGCCATGTTCCGAAAGTCTGTGGATGATAAAGTGGGTCCTGGGTGGAAAATTGAGCAGGAAAAACACTTAGGATGATTTACTAGTACTAATAGTTCATAAAAGTCTTAACTTCCTCCGAATCCAGATGCAATACGAAGCAACATTTTGGCTACTCATATTTCATCCATCACTAAATGGTAAACTTTCTTATTTACACTCCGAAACATAAAAAAGTCCGATTCTAGAAATATAAACAGTCTTTCTTGGTAGGAGTGTGGACTTGTACTGTAGGAATACGGTATCGTCAAAAACGTAGTGCAGGAATACTGTAAGTTCAGAGTGAGGAGCAGCTTTACTGAATCTGAACGAAAATGATTTTTCTAGAAAAAACATTTAAGGACTACCTAAGATTACTGCAGCCTGGAGCGGGTACTGTAAGAGTACCATAATTACCGATAGTGAAAAAACTTCCCCAAATTAGAAGCTTGAAGGGAGTACCTAAGATTGCTGAAGCGTGGAGGGAGTACTGTAATGTTACTGTAGGAGTACTGTAATGTTTGAGCCATTATCATACAGGTAAGAACTGTTTCGTGGAAGTCTTAAGAATTTTGTTGTCTAAGAAAAATTATTGCTCAACAAATGGGTACCAAAATCCTGCGAGTTCAAAAACGCGCATAGCCTCAGAAATGGTTAAGAGTTTGGTCTTCTCAGTGCATCAGTGAACTGAAAGCTCCTCATCGGCTCACAGAGGGTTCGAACCCGGGATCTATTGCGCACTGGCTGCGCACACTGCCACTGCGCCAACATAACTTGTTCAACGAGCTTTCGACAACCTCTTACTCTCACGTTGTTCTTGAATATCTTTTCTAGTAAATTCTTGATTGCGTTTTCCCATAAACGTTCTTTTTTTACCTGCTCGTATAGCCTACCCCTTCTACTGCCAAAACCACTGAATCAGCATAAATCTTACTTTAAAAGCCACACATCCACTTCCTCCCTCGGCACTTCCGCGCCCATCGCTCTCCCTCTGTCCAACCAGCCTCCTCGACCTTAATCTATCTTTACTATAGGGTTTTACTTTTGTGCGTACGCCTGTCATCTCACAATCCGCCTCGGAAGAGTCATTAAAAGCCGGATTTTCCTTAAGAGGCGTTCGCCAGCGAAATTGATGCATTTACAGGGTTGTTGGTAAACAATGTCAACAAAATGTGGAATTCTTCCGGAGAATGATCATAATATCCAGATGGTAAGCTAGAGCAGCCTTGCTAGAAACCAGTTTTTGGCGGGAAAAACTGAATTCAACGCATAGCAATGCTTTTAGCGTAACCCATCCATCTGCGTCGGGATTTTCCCAAAAAGTCCTTCAGAACGAGACCGCAAGGCGTGACCAAACACTCATAAGCCCCGATCGGTTAAGAGGGTACACTAGCAGAAAGCTGGGTCGAGCGGACCCAGTAAATTGGGAGTTTTGAATCTGCGTTGAAACCCAAATTGTGACCTTTTTACATCTGTAACTTGCGCTTAAACAATCACCATAGAAATATCCTACAAAACACGATTTTTCAATCTGAAACGAAAATTGAAAGCGTTTAAATTCTTTGTCATTAAGCTTTTCTCTCGCTCCCCTTTCCCTTCTTTCCAGAGTTTTACCGTACCCAGCCAGCGAAAAATTCCAGTGCAGTTATTTCTGGTCAACGAAGCCCCGTTGAAAAGTCAACACCGCACTCAACTCTATCTCGCAATGACCGAACAAACAAATCTCAGCAAATGTCAGGTCTAGCTCTCCTTTCAATCGGGATTACGAAGCTTTGAAAAAACTGAAAAGAAAAACTGATGCGGTTTGGAAAGCATTTGGAAAGCCGCAAAGTTGGATGAAACGGAATGTTTGGGAGAAAATGAGCTTTACCCTGGTTTCATGTGAGTCGGGTAGACATTTCACTGTATAGAGTTTGAAAAGAAGCGAAACTCGTGCCTTTTTGACTGCTTAAAAAGTTAATGAAAAGAATTTGTAACAATTTTGAAAATTAAAAATTTTTTGAAATTTCTATAAAATATGAAAGACTTGGTTGAAAAGGTCATATAATTTTTAATTGAATGAACAATATTACTCTATAGCTCTCAACTCATAATAGTTTCTACCCTTCCCCCCCCCCCCCCCCCTATATTCAATCTCATCGCTACGGTTCCCGAAATTCGTAATAGTCTGCTCAATGTTGTTCACCGTATTTGACTCTGGCAAAGTTTTTCGTAAATGGGAATTTGTACAAATGGTGGCTTTTTCATAAAGGCTTCAAATATAAAGCTCGGACTTAGTAGTGGAAAGCGCCATTTTATGGTACAAATATGGAAAAACAAGATGTTTAAATAAATTCTTTTTAATATTCAAAACAATATTTCTATCAAAACTCTCAACAACTCGAAAAACTCTCAGTTCGGCAGTAAGGTCATGAAATATTTAACCCCCTGATCTAAAAAACAAAAAAAAATTCCTCTGAAAAGCTTGAAAACTCAAAAGCTACTCAAAAACTTCAAAGATCTCTAGCTCTGCTCTCAATGACCATACACCATACATAAGTAAGACATAATACCATAAGAGGATTTCGATTTTTCATTCTACCCCCTCCCTCCCCCCTCCCCTCCTTCCAAGCACGCTCGTACACATGCTTGATTTGATTTGATATACTAATCGGATAAACAAAGACAGGCGAACGACTGATTTTACCGCTAATTTCATAATCTTCCCGATGAACGGAAGCACCAAACAAGATTATCGTAAGGAACGGACGATAAGCTAGCTAGAAGCAAGAAAACATAATTTTGAAATAGATTTTGAAAGTAATGAGAGGATAAAAATTAAAGTTACAGTAATCCTCACCAGGCGGCCATAAGCGGTGACAGCCGATTTGAACATTCCAAATCTTCTTCACATGCTTCCAATGCCGCTTTACATTCGGCGGTGACATTTGGCTCTTGGCCAGCACCCAAGTACAGTAATCCGTAGAGTAATAGAGTAGAATACCATCGTTGCATCGTCGTCGCCGAGGTCTGTAAAATTCCACAAGTGATGATATCCGTGGGACTAGAGATAGGAGCGCGAGAAGTGAACAAACAGACAGCTAAAGCGGAAAAAATTTGGGCGAAAAAAATTCCTGAGCCAGACAGGGGGACTAGCACTCATTGTGTGTGCAGAACATGCTGCATTCTAACGCGCGCGGAGCTCCGCCGGTGGCGATTTTCCAAAATGGGCGGGGCCATGGCGGTGGAACGGGGACTGCGCGCGGCCACGCCCCCGCTCCATCGGGCTCGGAGCCTCTGGGAAAAACAAAGAGTGGAAGACGATGAACAAGCATAGCTATCACGAACACACCATTGAGCAGGTGTCAAAGTGAGCAGATTAACGGGCCGGACGGGGTTTGGGTGTGGGATTAACAGACGAGGATTTGGAACTGGAAAATTTCGTAAGAAATCATCCACAAACAAAAGTTTCCAGAAAATTCTCTGAGAGTCACTCAAGTGCCAAAAATCCTCCACACATTGCAAATCCACCAGACAATCTAATCGTCTTTCTTTTCCCACCTTTACTCAGCATCCACCATTTCCTTCAAAGCTATTTGGACTCATCGCTTCTTAATTGCTAGCACTTAGAATAAATTAGGTATGAGCTATCCTCATATGTTTTTCCGTGCACTTTGACAAGCTACCCAGGTTTCTAAGCTAAATTTGAGCTAATTGTTCCACTACTTTGCGCATTTGAAGCACATTTGCAGATACAGCAAGAAAAAGCAAATTTAGCTGTAGTCGCAAAATGAAGAAAAGTATGCTTAGTACGATTGAGAAGCACTGCTTCCTTGCAAAGAAATCTTATGTATGCTAAAAAAAACAAAGTTTAAATGGCAAACCCTGAAAAAAAAACTGCCTTAAAGACCAGCTATATCGAAAGATTCTGTTGTCTTTGAACTTCTTGTGTGATTTGGTACAGTTGTTGAATATATTGGCAATAAAGTATAGTGAAATATACCAAAATATTTAGATAAAAAATAAAATGATTCAATTTTGATATAATTTCAATAACATATTGAAATCGAAAAGCCAATAAGCTACAGAATTTCCAAGCTTCTTCAAAAACTGTACCAATCCACGCATATTTTTGAATTGAGTTCCCTCTAAAAGTTTTTTTTTCGTTTTTCCTCCATCTTGCATTTTCCCTCAAAATGAATGTTTCTGAAAGGTTTATTATGAGCACATGATTTGCTGGAAATGACAGTTCATAACTTGTCTAACTAACTCTTTAGAAATTTGCAAATTTCAGTTACAGAGAAATTCATTTTCCATTCGGTCAATCGAAAAAAAAAGTCGCAAAGAAGCATTTTCGAAAATTCGAGGGAAAATTCATTCTCAAGAAGTTCATACATTTTACAGAAACTCTCAAACTTGGTAAAAAACATAGAAAGTTTCCGGTACTTTTTGTACTTACTCTACTCTCTCAGTAGACTTATTTATTTTATGGTTTTTGGCTAGTAATTTTCAATTAGTTGTTTTTCTAAACTCGTGATGTATTTCACAGAAAAAAGAGATAGATCGATGAAAAAACATGTTCTCGCTATTCCCCTTGAATTTCTTTCGTCAAAGGAGACTTGTGAAGAAACATAAAATGTATGCGAAAAAGATAGAAATAATGAAGATTTAAGAAAATGAATGAAGAATAGTTAAATGGAAATTGGAGTGCAAATAATGATTGTGAAACCCGACCCATGCAATCTGGTTGATTTGGTTAATCCTTCAGTTTTTTTGAGAATTATTCGATTCGCGTTTCTTTTGACTCAGCTGTTTCGCAATTTAACTCTAAATGGTGATCAGCCCGAAATTGTCAACCGAAGCGCATCAATATAAGGTCCTTTTCGTAATGAAGTTTCGATTTAGGAGAAAATTTTGGAAATGAAGCCCGTTTCACGCTATAAAGGTCTAAATGTTCATTTGATGTACCTGCCCGCATTAGACAAGATGGCGTGCTTGTACCAGATGTCAATAAGTGGCAAACGTATGGCTCAGGTTTCAGATGACAAGATGAAAACCACCTTCATGCTGAGAAAGAGCAATCATGAACGGATGCGTGGCTGCTATAGTACGAAAATTATATGGGCGGGGTATAAATCCGCGCATATTTGGGAGAACAATTTGGATTCAAAAATAGAAAAAGAGTAGATGAAAGTGAGAAATAGTGCTGGAGACATAAGCAAGGAAACAAAGAAGACTTAAGGAGGCCGAGTTGATATTGATTCCTCACTCAAATTTGTGAGACAAAAAAGTGTAAACAAAGGCAGATTTTATGACATATGTTCCTACCGTAAACCTACCGTACTGGCCGTTCTACAAGTATCTTGAACTGTGAAATATTGCTTTACTTCAGCTCAACTATGCAAACGATAACAATTTTTTTAAAGGGCTTCTACCGTAAAACTACCGTATAAGTACAGTATTCCATTTGTTTTTGTGGTTGTCGCGATACGCATTTTTAGCAAATTTTTATAACTTAAACCACCATGTTTATGATTTAGATGCCGCATCATTAGCACTTCAAGGTTTACCGTATGCCTACCGTACTCTTACAGTAACATAAAAGCTTTCGTTTTGGTAGTTGCTATGCTTATTCTAATACACTTATGCAGCATGACTCACCATGCACTACAGAATCCTCCTATCATTGGCAATAAGAGCTCTACCGTATACCTACCGTATCCCAGCAATACCCGGCGCTCTTTGAAATTGGTAGAGTTCGCTAAAAAGAGGGGGATTTGACAAGACCTCAAAATGCGGAATAGAGGTAGGTTAGTGAGGAACCCAACAAAATGTCATCTCATCCAAAGTATCCCCGCCCCCCCCCCCCTTCCTTCCCCCTCCCGCCCGCCCCGTCTCCATTTCTAACGGAACTCCCTCTCGAATATTCACTATGTTCACCATCGCCGTATGTCAATCAACAAGACATGTTCAAATACATTTTAATAGCCGGAATATCCGTTTTAGCCCGGTGTTCGGTTACAAATCGCCTGGTCGAGCGTAAAAAAAGCAGTCCCGGTATGCACAACTTGCGCATGATTCCAGATCATTCGAAGTGGTCCCCGGGGGCTAGTTCGGCACGATCAACACCATGTTTTTCGTTGCCAGTACGCATACTCTGCATTGTACACGAGATTTTACAGGGATTTCTTGATTGAACCAACGAGAAAACTCGTCTTAGAGAAAGCTTGCCATGGCAAAAAAAAAACAACCCGTGCATAATAACCTTATGATCTCGAGAGGTTTCTGGTTTTGTGGTTCATTGTGTTCACTTCTTGTGAGGTCTAGAGCTTATATAAACGCTACGGATATTAGCTGTTAATTCTACATGCACGAGTAAATACTGAAATTACTCTGACTTAAGAGCCTGCTGGAAAAACCTCGAAAACCTGCTCTCAATAATTTGCAAAGAATGCAGCTAGCAAGCGAATATGATTGAAAATTAAAATTTGAGCTATGAAATGAAATTCACCTTCAACTGATGGTGTCTGCGCTTAAGCAATTACATACATATTCTACACGATACTAAATAACTTCTTATCTTTAAGACTCCAATGGTACAAAAAAGCCGTGAATTTGAGCTGCTCCATAAAAGAACTAAAAAAATTCCTTCCTTCCCCCCTCTTCACGATCGCATTATTCCTCGATTAGTACATGTAACCCTATGCGACACAAGACCGAAATGCATTGAACATACTTCCAGTGACCCTGTCAGCAAATGATCATCTGAGATTCTTAAAAAAATAAAAGAATCAATCAAAAACATAGGTTATAAAATCATATTATCAAACTACAAAATCAAAAATTTATTTGTATATTTGTTGAGATTAGATTGACATTGATATTGATATGTTCTCGTGTTTATAATCAAGTACTTGCTTTCTGATGCTTCCAAAGGAAATTCCCAATCGTCACTGCAATTATATTTCTTTAGTCAACATTCACACTACTAAGGAAGAAAGGCACTTCTGGCAGTTGAGATTTGACACAGTGGAAGAAATCGTTGCTAAAGCAGTAGCAACTCAGAGAATTCCCTGGAACTTCCGCAGGACAAGCGAAATTTGCAGCGCTTCTGCAGAGTTTTGTTTACTATTGCAAAAGTAGAAACGTTGAAAATGGAAACTTCCGCAGGATTTTCACGTCAAACTGGTTGAAGACGGGAAATTCCGTAGAACTTTTCACAAAGCGCTGCGGAACTTCCGCAAAACGTCAGCGGTTTCGCAGCACTTTGACATGCCAGTACTTCCGCAGGAATGTGTTGTGAATGTGTTGTCTCGTATGATGTTGCCTCGCCAACCTAGAGTGCATTACCGAAAATGTCATACGTAGGGCAGAGGGTAGTAAATCTCGCAGTCGATAAAAGGTTCAAATCTCGCTTAGATATTCTCTTTTGCTGTTGCGGTTCGCATTGTTCGGAATTTCCGCAGCACCTCATCTGGAAATTTCTGCAGCACATCTACAGAACTTAAGCAGATGACCCGGCGGAACTTTCTCAAACGTTCTGCGGAAGTTTCTATCAGTTGCCTGGGAACGTCGAAGAGTGTAGCACATTTTTAGTGCCTAGAAGCCTTTTTTATGTCACCCGTTCAACAGACAAGAAACTGATATGAATGTATGTTCATTTTGCTTTTTTGCATTACCCTATTTTCAGGTGTATAAGCCGCACCTTTTTTGCACTGAACGCGAGCAGACCCAGGCGTGCCGCTCGCATGTGCCTCGAGAAGCGGTCGCTTTCTCGCACATTGCTCTCACTTAACGCGCCCCATCGTAACAGACAGTCTTTTGGCGTGTGCGCCTTTAGAGTGAAAAGGGTGCGGCTCATGCACCTGAAAATAGGGTAGTCTCTGGTTAGCAAAAGAGTTCTACCGTTTTGGCTGTTGAACATAGTGGATGTTTATTTGGTCTACTGTAAAGAACTATAACAGATTCCAAATTTTAGGCACCAAAGAAATTCAATTACACTAAACGCATGCAGACTAGAAAATTTATCTCGCTTAAATTTTGATAGATTTTTTATGAGGTAAGACTGCTACAGACTCAAATTTTGAATTTATTGCACATTTAAATTGGAGATGTTCCTTCACATCTATCTAAAGGCCATAAAAGGTCAGTGTCAAAGTTCTTCTTCGATTCGGCACTTGCCTATTAACAACGATTAGGTACTGCTAGATAATGCGAAAGATATATCCGTGCCTAACCGGTTTCTATTCTCATATGTTGCTCCTTCTTATAAACAGCTAATAGCTACGAAAAAAAAACATCTAGATGCCTATCATCAGATGCTAAGACAACGCAATAATGCACTTTTTTGCTCAACACTACCTTCGCTGCTTAAGAATGGGTCTTCTCACTTGTCGTTGTTTTATGGCATAGATAAGAGTAACGAAAGTGATCGAAAGAACCTGGAGACAGAGAGTCTGGAGTCTCGAGCAGAAAAATTGTGGGAAACCGGATCGAGATTATTTTTCTCAAAAGCGACTCAAGTTGCGAGACAAATAATTGCGCAAGTAAACCGATTAATCCGCACTCGAAGACGAGAACACTAAATAAAGCATAAACGAAATTGTTGATGAGTCACTATAATACTCAAGGATTGAGGAAAAATTATGTTTTTTTTCTAACAAAATACAAATTTTTCAAAACTCGTTCAACTTAGACAGCCTACCATTTATAAAATAGACAGAGAGTAAACGATTCAAAATAACTGAATGTTAAAAGGAATTTTAGATGTCCCAGTCCAAAAAACTGAAAGAGCAGTGTAAGTTCAGGCTTGTGTAATGATTATTTCATCACTTTTCAGGGGGTTTGTTTTTTGTGACCTGACCTTAGTTCATGTAAATGGCTTAAAAATGTTCTTCTCAAAATTTTACAATTGCCAAAAAACTCACGGAGCAAAACTTACACTACGTACAACGTTTGGAAAGTGCAACACGCGAACAATTGAAATGCTACACAACATTTTGGCAGTTTTAGGCAGAGGGCAGAGTTGGCAAAAAAAATTTTGCGAAAGTACAACTTTTTCTTACCTTAAATCTGGGTATAATTACAAAAATGTTTCAGTCACATGGAAAATCTGCTAATTAGAAGGGTAGGATTTGAAACTATTATTTTTAGATTACATTAGTCATAAAATTTATTATGACTGGCTTTCGAAATAGGGGACTGTGTAATTTAACAAAAAATGTGCGGGAACTGATCATAAGAAACCTTTTTGAAATATGGCACCGGATATCAATGATGCAGTTTGAATTTTGATAATAAATTTTCTAAAAATAGGCAGAGATTTTTGCAAGCCATATAACTACATAAGGAACTATATAAGTTGATTGAAAGGTGACATGATTTTTATCCAAAATTTGTTCAAACCTCGGAATTTTGAAAAAAGAAACGAGCAGCTTTGGAAACAAAGTCTTGAAAGTTCCAAGACGAGGAGCCAAAAGGTGTTTAACCCCTTCAAAAAAAATTCTTGAAGAGCGTTGTTAAGCTCCCCCTCCCCTCTATTCACTTCACCAACTCCCCCAAGAAAAATTTTCAAAAGTTTACTTGTGCTAGTATGCCATATATGAGACAGTATATAGAAAGTAATCAATGGTAACTTATGTTTCACCTAAAACAGTATAATAGGTGAATAGTAGTATATGGATAATGTTGGTCAGTAAAGCTATGAGACTAGGTAAGCTATGAAACTAGGTAAGGTATGAAACTAGGTAGCCTATAATAAACTGGCCAAACTAGCTGCCATTGTAATCAAGCTGCAATGACTATGGGCTGGAAGTTTGCTCAGCCAGTGGCGACTATAGGAAGGCTTCCTTCTTCTCAGACTGCTCTATCCAAAAGTCGAAATTATATCAAAACTTAGATACACCAAGATTTTGAAGAATTTTTTACGATTTTTAGAGGAATACTTAAGCCGGCACAACCAAAGGAATTATGGAAAAGTAGTGAAACTTCAGCGTCAGCCTCTTATACTTTCACCGCAGCGTCAATTATATGTGGGGGGCTAGTCTCTGCCCCTTATAACTGTGCCGGTAATTGACCGAACGGATTCGGTCTCACTCGTCATCCACTACGCCAAGGTTGAAGAGCTGGAACTCTTCAACGAAGATGAGAGATGGGTGATCTCTCGACCTTCTTGAAAAGAAGCTGGAACTCTCACTTCGATGAGTTGAAGGCTGGAGACTGGTTCGGTGGCATCTGTGTTTGTTTTGAGTGAAGTCAGGAAATGCTAGCGGAATAACTGTCAAGAGGTTGCAGATGGGCAATGATTGCGAGGAATGAGCCCTCTAAGGGTGGATGGAAGGGAGGAGGGGGGGAGGGGGTAGGAAGGGTTACGAAAGAAGATAAAGATTTAGCACATACAGGAATAAAAATATATATTTAGATCCATGAAACTGTCAAGAAAATTAGCGGCGTGCGACGGTTTTGTCACGACAAATACGTCGATACAGATAGGTCACACAAAAGTTTTTTCAAAATTAGACTTAAATTCCTACGCCAGATTCGTAGCAGTCCAGTGATGTTTTCAATTTCTTTAAAAATATGCTTGAAAAGAAATTATAGCAATCCGACGATTTTATTTTTACGATAACGCAGCGATGGGAAAATTTATCGAAATCAGTTTTTTCCATGATTTAAGAGCACAGCTGTAGTAAGCAAACTGCAATTATTAAGCTCACCT